TTTATAGTTGGTTTACCACGAACAATTCAAAAATTTGATTCCATATGGGTTATCGTGGATAGGTTGACAAAGTCTGCTCATTTTCTACCCATTAACATCAGGTATTCATTGGATAAACTGACTGAATTGTACATAAAAGAAATTGTGAGATTACATGGAGTTCCATCTAGTATTATTTCTGACCGGGATCCTAGGTTTATTTCTAAATTTTGGGGAAGCCTACATCAAGCCTTAGGAACTAAGCTTCATCTTAGCTCAACTTATCATCCTCAAGCTGATGGACAATCGAAAGAACCATTCGAGTCCTTGGAAGATTTGTTGAGAGCATGTGTGTTAGAAGATTACAGTAGCTGGGATCGATACTTATCATTAATTGAATTTACTTATAACAACAGTTTCCATTCTAGCATAGGTATGGCACCCTATGAGGCATTGTATGGGAGAAAATGTAGGACACCTTTATGTTGGTTTGAGACTGGAGAAAATTTAATCTTAGGTCCTGACATGATTCAACAAACCACGGAGAAAATTAAGATGATTAGGGAAAAAATTAAGAACAACTCAAAGTCGACAAAAAGCTATGCTGACAAGAGAAGACGACCCCTTGAATTCCAAGAAGGTGAACATGTATTCTTGAAAGTAACACCGACAACTGGAGTTGGTAGAGTAATGAAAGCCAAGAAACTCACTCCTCGATTTATTGGTCCCTATCAAATTCTTAGAAAAATAGGTCCTGTTGCTTATCAAATTTCCTTACCCCCTTTTCTTTCTAATCTTCATAATGTGTTTCATGTGTCTCAGTTAAGAAAATATATTTCTGACCCTTCTCATGTAATAATGCCAGATACAGTACAATTAAAGGATAACCTTACATTTGAAACAATGTCTGTACAGATTACAGATATGAAGATCAAGCAACTGAGGGGAAGACAAATTCCACTAGTGAAGGTTGTTTGGAATGAAATTACTGGAGACGCTACATGGGAACTAGAAAAGAAAATCAGGGAAAGTTACCCCTATTTATTTTAGTCGCTAAAAAATTACGAGGACGAAATTTCTGTAAGTATAGGGGAAATGTAATATCTCAAAAATATATGTATATAATAATAAATTGAAAGATAAGATTAACTTATCTTAATGGGTAAGTTTTATCCGTCATTAATGCTTTTAATGATTTCAGTAAAAAAAGATAATAATAATAATAAAAAATACAAAATTTTGGTTATAAAAGGGGCAGGGGGAAAGCATGCGGAGAAAGAAAGAGAGAAGGGAAGAGAGAGAAAGAAGGAGAGAGAGAAAGAGAGAAAGAGAGAAGGGAAGAGAGAGAAAGAAGGAGAGAGAGAAAGAGGGAAAGAGAGAAAGGAAAGAGAGAAAGGAAGAGAGAGAAAGAAGGAGAGAGGAAGAGAGAGAAAGGAGGAGAAAGAAAGAGAAAGAGAAAGAAACGAGAAGGAAGAAGAGAAAGAACCAAAAATTTTGGTATCTCATCCATAACTCTTAAGGTAGGGGAGGAGAATATTATCATTAAATCTACTTTATTTTGCTTATAGTTGTGAAGTGAGGTGTCCCTAACCTTATTCTATTTATTTAGTTATTTGTTTATTTATCTCTAACTACGTAATGGTCCTATTTTATTTTATCTCCGGTTATGTACTTGGTCCTATTTTATTTTATCTCCGGTTATGTCTTGGTCCTATTTTATTTTATCTCCAGGTTATGTACTGGTCCTATTTTACTTTATCTCCGAGTTATGTACTGGTCCTTTTTGTTTATTTTACTTTATCTCCGAGTTATGTACTAGTCCTATTTTATTTTATCTCCGAGTTATGCACTTGGTCCTATTTTAATTATCTCCGGTTATGCATCTGGTCCTATTTTAATTATCTCCAATTACGTCTTGGTCTTGTTTGTTTACTTTATTTTATCTCTAGTAATGCAATGATCCTATTTATTAGTCTATAGTTATATTAATCAATTACAATAATATCTATTTGTGAAGATTTGATGATATTGTAGATGGAGGTTGGACCTTGGGGATTTAAATGAGTAAATATCACTTGTGAGCATGATTAAAATTGAGCTCATTTATCCTGACTAGTCACTACAATTTAAATCTTCATAAAATAGAATGTGTTGAGAAAGTTGAAACATATATATCTATATATTATAAGATTGTATTATTGTAATTGATAAATGTTCTCACTCCCTATTGTGATCTTTTATGCATGTTTTATTTAAACACCAACTTAAGTAGATGGAGGCGCCAAATATTCTAAATCCCTTTTCTGCAAGCATCACTGCCTTCTTTCCAGGAACTACTTGGAACACGAATGTTATAGACAACTCGGTTACTTTTAGAGGGATAGGATTTTCAATAATAACATTTGTATATGATATGGGAAATCTCATTATGTTAGATGGGTCAGTAGTAGTTACCTTTTTTATGCCTCCTACTTTTTTTCAAAACCCCTTAATCAGTTTGTTTCCACCGCCAATGTAGATACTTGTAAAATTGTAGAAAAAGAAAATAGAAGGAATCAAAGATAAAATTCCTTCTTCTTTTGTATATCTTATATAGTGATGTAAATTACTTTTACATATATGTAATATTTTTTTTACCTCCTACTCTTATACAAATAATAATAATAATGATTAATAAAGGATAATAAAAATAAACGTCACAATAGCTATATTTTGTCTGCAACCAACCCTAACTTTGAAAATTGTATAGAGAAATAGAAACAAAACTAGATATAAACAGAATCAATAAGTAATTTCCACATACGATAAATGGAATCCTATGCATAAATCATTTAAAAAAAAAACATGTGTGACTTAAATTATATATAAATTCTTAATTACTACAAATAAAATAATCGCTTAGATTAAAAAAATAAATTATATATGTGGGGAAGTGCAAAATGGTACTCATTTCATTAATCGATTATTTCTTTATTAATTTCAATAGGAAGGTTTTGCAGATACGTTTTGGGCATTCCTTTAATCTGTCATTTAAAAAAAAAATTCCTTAAAGTCTATGAATTATTTTTAAAAGTATTTTTTTAATATTAAAAAAAATTTGGATTACTATGCCACCTATTCATAAATCAAAATTTTAGACTTTTCTTAAATATAAAATTTATACATATGGAAATATATATATATATATATATATATATATATATATATATATATATATATATATATATATAAAAGATATAAGGATAACAAATTATACAAGTGCAAGAAAGAAAGACATAAGCAACTTTCTTAAAAATTAAATCATATTATTTTTAAGTTTTTATTGATAAAAAATATAAACAAACTTTTAATTCTTTAATTGAATAACAAATTTAGTATAATATTTAATTGTACATCTAATAAAATAATTTTTAATTATAAAAGTTTTATATATAATTAAGGATGTCAATTAAATCTATATCTGTGATGGATAATGTAATCCTTATTTTATCTACATGTAATTTTTACTTTATTGACGTCCTCGTTTCAATTTTATATTTAAATTTAAATATTAAAATATTATTTTAAAACTTTTTTATTATATATAAAATCATTTTTTTTATATTTTATCATTATTACTTTTCTTCTATCTATTTTTTAATTTTTTATCTTTTTTAATTTTTTATATTAATTAGTTCATTATATTATTATCTTTCTCCTATCTTTCCTTTTTACACGTTTCATTAATCTCTCTAATCAATGTGTTTTTTTTTTCAATCTTTTCAACCAAATGAATAAAGTTAATTTTTCTTATTCTTTATTTTTGTTAAATGTTTTACATAAATATTAATAGTAACTAATATTATTTTATTTATAATTTATTTTTATTAGATTTTATTATGTCATATTTTTTTATCTTATTATTCTTATTTATTATATATCAAATTTTATCTTAATAAAATAATTATATTTTAAAAATTTTAAAAATTAATAATTTAAACTTTTATTACTTTAAACTAATTAAATAAGAACTAACTTATTAACTTTTTTTATAAATTATATATTTCATATTTTTAAATAATAACTTAAAAAAATTAACTTATATATATAATCAAATATTTCAATAATAATAATATAAAGATTCTAATTTTTATAAAAAAAATAATTAAATAGTTCTTTTATATTTATATTTAATATAAATATAATAAATTAAAATATATATTTAATTATTAATAAATATAAATTATAAAATTATAAATATTTAATTTTATAAAAAATAATAAAATTAATTTATCATAAATATAATTATTTTTAAATAATATAACCTGAGGACAGATTCAAATCGAAGAAGAATAAAGACTTATTTTCTAAGACGAGGGACTAATGACATCATAGTGTATTAAAAATAATTCCTCGAACGCTAAACACATACTAGACCGCAAAACTTCAGTTTTTTATTTATTTATACAAAAATTTGACTCGCCATTTCAAATACAAACGATAAATGGTTTAGTAATTTATAATTTCAGATGCGTAAATTGTTTGATAAATTACAAATTTTTACCGGTAATATACATTTTTACCAGTTTATTTTATAGGCCATTTTGATCAACCCTTAACCGGTGGGTGTTTCACTCATTTTTAAATTGATTCTAAATTTGATTAAAGTCTTAAATAGTTTTCGCAGTGAATAGAAAGTTTTGTATGAATTTTTGTTCACTAATTGGAAGTTAATAAAAAAATTCTAATATATATCACAAACATTTGAACTTATATTTATCTAAAAATTAATTTGACAGGAATAAGATCACTCATTTTTACCATTATAATTAACTTGCAACATCTGTACTTTAAAAGTTGCAACACTACACAATATACAAATTAAAAATTCGTTGCTATCATGTCCAATGCACCGCAAACATGATATTCCTGGTCTAAGTAGAAAGCGACTGTACACTCAACTGCATGTACAATTAGTAAACTGCTTACAAAATTGGGGGCAGACAAACTCCGCCGAGATGGAACTTGCATCATAAAAGTCCTCAACCAGTTGAATGCTGCATAAGCTCCATCCACTGAAATAAGCACAACAAAATAAATATAACTCACTTTGTTAACCAGAATCTTTATTTATTTATATATTGCCTCAAAAGAAAGGTGGAAGAAAATCAAACTAACCTGTCTCAATAGGTTAGCAAGAGTCCTAGGCAATGCCTCAATGTTCCTCAGAACAATGTAGTAGGGAAAGGGAAAGGAATCCATGTACTTAGAAAATTTCATCTTCCCACCCTCAAAAGAAGCTTCCTGCAGTTCAGAACCTCATGATAAGTGAGGAGAAAAGTTGCCTCTAATACTTTTAATTAAAAAACATTTAAGCATAACAGAGCATATACCTTCAGATCCATAATTGACTCCTGAGAATTATCTAGAAGCAAGAAAGCAACCATCCGATTACCAGTTGATACATCTCTAACACACCGCTTTAAATTCTCCTGAAAATATTTAAGTTGAAGATGAGTGAACAGAGAGTTCAGAGGTAAGAGAGAAAAAGTATAAAAGTAATTTATTATCAAGTACCTTTTCATGAAACCGACCGTCTGCAATTATTAAAACTAGTTGCTGCAGTGGGTTATGTCCAGATGGAAGTCGTGCTTTTACAACTGCAGTATCTAGTTTGTTCGTTAGGTACTTCAATAGGTCAACAACTGGCTCATCAGCAATAGTATTCTCTTGCTCGAATGTCAAATTGGATATCATCTGCTCCTCAGCCAAAAACAGTTAGACCTAGATTATTAGACTTGGATTCTCTCAAACATTTTCCACACATGCAAAATGATTATAATAAAAAGAAACAAATTATAAGCTAAGTTCTTAATCCTGCTACCTTAACACCAGCCTCTCCACTGAAGGGTCTATCAAAGTCGTGCAATAACTTTATGTTTCCTTTTGTTCCAAAACTAGCAACAGCCAAGCTGCCCATTTCCAATTGAGAAACAGCACGACATACTGTAACCAAAGCTTCAATAGCAACATCACCACAGCCATTCTCTGACATACTATGTGAATCGTCAACAGCTATAACAACTTGGTAATCACGTTTGTTGGGTCTGGTCCGCCTCAGCCATATTCTATCTTTACTATAATCACTTGCTATGTAAGGAATTACCTGGGTTTTTTTTAAGAAAAAGATGGTAAGCTAAGCACAAATATTTCGTCAACAAATGTTGACAAGGTCTACTATTCATAAGAATAAATTATCTACCTTTTTCATATTTATCCTTTTGCCAGTTCTATAATCACCTTGGAGCTTGCTGGCCAAAGTGGGTTCCATTACAAGCCGCAATTGCTCAGCCAACTCAAAAGACAATTTTGTTGTGCTAAGTTCGAATCTACTCCAGAGAGCAGTAGCATTATCTTTCACATGATCAGGTACATCACTAGGATCTTGGCCTTTACCCAAGTCTTTGTCGTGCAGAGAGAGCTGGCTTAGATCAGTGCTCTCGCTCATGTATGAACTTCTGATAGAAACCAAATCTTCCAAACGATTTTCAAGATCAATATCTATTCTAGTAAGAGGATGCGCTGATCCATCATCTCGTGACGTTTCCATGGCTGACGGATTCACTTGCTCCCTTTTGTCATTTTTGGTGATTGATGAAGAAATACTAACAGAATTCATTTCTGATTTTTCCTTCTCAAACTGTAACTTTAAATCTTCTCCCGCAGTACATTCTTTATCAAGCTGATCACCATCAATGTTTCTATCAACCTGCTCCAGTGTTGCAGGCCCCAAAGCCTGAGTTGTTCCCTTTTCAAATTCAGAAACATAGCCATACTCATCAGCATTGTCGTCTTCCATCTCATCTTGTTTCGCACTGCTATCTTCCGGAAGATCACCAGATACATTAATTCTTTCTTTCTGATATTCAAGTGCATCACCTATACTTCGATGAGGATTAGTATGTTTCTCTTGAATAAATGAATGTTCATTCCGTGGATGCTGAGATTTGGGTTGATTTTCACCAAATCCTCCACTATTTGATGAGTCAGACATCTTAAAATCCATCTCAGATATACTACAAGAAGGCAAACCTCCCAACAGGGTAGAGTCAAAGTCATGATGGCTATTAGACAAATTTGACTCTGCTGCAACATGTTCAGAACCAGATGTCTGCCAATCAACATTCGACTGTGATGCTAATTTAGCAGGGGGAACTTGCTCATTAATCAATACGGAAGATTTAGATGAATCTTTGTTTGTTTCTGTTGAATGCATGTCTGCATTCTGGTTATGGTCCAGACCTTGATCATCTTTTTCGGAGTTCGTATCAACTTCAGTATGTGCCTCTTCCATAGCTTCATCAGGGGAGCAAGTCTCTTCATCCTGCTTCCCTTCATTTCCATTCTCAGATATATTATCTTGCTCATCAGGTTCTACATCTTCCATGAGATCTGCATCTTCATTTAAATCTAAATCCATATCCACGTCAGAGGTTTGATCCAACTCATCAGGCTTCAACCCAGTAGGATCTGAATATGCTGCTTCTTTGTCCATTGTCACTTCATCTCCTTTCTCTCCATCACCTATATCATCTGGGAGTACCGTTTCATCATCTTGAGCATCACCTTCATCACAATTACCATCACCAGGTTCATTCGTTGTAGAGTCATCCTTGGCTCTTAACTCCCTGTTGCCTTCATCTCTATCCTTAACCGAAGGTCCAGATTCATACTTCTCTCTTTTATCATTGGGAGTTTCATCTTCATTCTTATCACAAACTTTCTCACCCACTGCTTCACTGTCTGGTCCAGTTGGTCCCATTTCAGACTCAAGCTCCCCATCCTCATCCTCATCATCAACATCTTCAGAGTCTTCACTAAGGCTCATAGCATCAGCCTGAAAATCCTGTTCCATTTCAATCCCTGTATTGTTGCTACTTGGCACTTTATCAGAGTCATCTTGCTTTTCATTTTGCTGTAGTATTGACACAAGTACATTATATAGAAATCAGATATATGAGAAGAGTCTGACCAAATCAGCAAAATATATTAGCGAAAAGGCTAACCTGTTCCCGTGTTCCCAATAGCTGATCTTCATCTGCAATCTGATCACTGACATCCTTTAATCCGACACCCTCTCCCATACCTGTACCACTTGCATCCCCAGTCGTATTGAGGGTCCCATCTTCCTCCTGGTCTTCAGGAGATATTCCAAAACCGTTTGAAAATAAAGAAGCTAAAATATTTGCAATAACATGAGTTGTTATTGATACCTGCAAAGTGACATACAACTACATCATCAGGCTTAATTTAGAAAATTATATACTGTGTAAATAGAGAATATTAAGTTATACACAGAATGAGGAGGAGTATTAAGCTTACTGATCTGTGCATGGCTAAGAAATTTTTCATAAGTTCATCACCAAAGTTTAGTAATTGATCCATGAACATATGCAGACTTTTAAAATGGGCTCCGAGCCATGAATAATTGCTGATTTTATCGTCACAACAATTCACTAACTTCTCCTAAAGAGCAAAGGTACAGTCAAATTAGTTATCAAGCAACAAAGAGTACTAAGAAGACATGCAAAAGAAACGATACTTACCCCAAAAGAAACAGCTTTGAAAAGATTCTCACATAATGTATCCAAGCTAAGATTTGTAACAAATGAATCAAATAGTGATTCCCATGAAACAATTTTTACCATGGACTCGTCAACCACAGGAATATTACTGGGCGAACATAAATTCTGCAATACAGATGCAAGATGCTGATATGTAGACATAAGGGCTTCATTGAACCTGGCATTAAGCTCCACAGAGTTTCTTTCACAAAATGTATCTTCAGATAAATCTGCTTGATTGAAATTTCCCTTTATTGCTGTTGTAAACTCTTCCTCAATTAATTTTGCCTGAAGAACAAATCCTTTTAAACCCTATTTTTCTCTTTCAAAATACTAGGTTTCACAAGGATAAATCAAAAAACTAAGTACCTTGTCAGTTATTTCTTGAAAATGCTGAATCAGAACTTCTCTAACCGTGCTTCTATCCAAATCTTGCTCTTGTAGTTCATGAAAATTATCCTTAAAATCCCTTATTGTTTTGAAATTTTCATAAACCAGCTGCTCCATTTCTTGATTAACAATGCAAAGATGCGATGAAGAAGTCACTGCAGTGACAGCTTTGGACCTCCCAATTAGGTAACAATCCAACGATTCCTGTAATCATGTTTCCATGAATTAAAAGAGAGTAGATAGATACTACTGCAAATTTAAAGAAAATTACAACCATAAACCAATATAAGCACCTTCGATTTACAGAACAACGGTAAAAATTCTTCAATGAAAACAATAATTCGACTAACTACAGGTCTGGCTCTGTGGCAAGTGTTTAAATGGCTACTTTCTAATATCCTCAGTAAAAGCAATTCTTCTTGTGAAGTAGCATAAAGAGTATCAAACAATTGCTGCATGATCAAGAAAAAAGTATTCATATAGAAACCTAAAACACTAGCAAAAACAGATATCCAAAATAAAATTTTAATAATAATGCTTACCTTTTGTTGCCACATGCACTTATAAGTAGCATATTGATTTTGAATAATAGAGCACATATAATTTGTTTTGTTACCAGTAGAAGAGGAAAATGTAAACAATTTCCCCAGAGTAGAAACACATTCTCTAAGGCATTTCAATTGCTTGTCAAATGCACTGGCAGCAGTAAGTTGCTTCTGTTGCATCTGAACGAGTTGATTGAGGAAAGAACTAGAACTATCAACCTACAGAAACCAAAGCAATTATATGATTCAGAAGGCACACAAGAAAACAACTGAAAGTATTACAAAAGCAATGCTGTAAAGATGAAAAATTCAGTTATTAAAGAAATAAACCCTTCCAATGTGAAGAAAATTAGCAGGGCAGCAGATACTAAATAAAGATGCAGAAGAAAAAATAAAACAACGTGTAAGAAAACCAAATGAATCCCAACACTAACAACAATTTGAACAAGAAATTTCACCTGATCAAGAGTTATATCTTTGTGCGGATTGAGGCATATCTGCTGCATAAGCAGCACAGACACAACACTCTTGTAGTAATTATCAATGGCAGTTTTCCACTCCATAAGCAAACTTTCTTCTTGATTATTCTTATTTTCATCTTCAGGAATTCCTGGGGTTACACACTGTAATCTACTATTTGTTAGCAATACATGTGATATGTTCCCAGAAAGCTGAAGGAACCACCAAGTTTTATGCTGGTCCTGTACATTTGTTCAAATAAACGAAAGGGAAAAAATGTCAATGGGATTTTTATTAAATATTTTCAATAAGTAATCTGGAAGTTCTTGAAAACAAACGATTAAGTTTCATACCACTGTATATGCTGACTTGTGTCGAGACAACCCATTGCTTTCTAAAAGCTTAAGAAGCTCAGACAAAGCTCTTCTCTTTCCTTGACCCTTTTTCTCCTCCTTCCAAAGATTACCATAGTCAACTGCTGTGATATATATTTTTTCAATCATATGCCACACAGCATTCCATCCCTTCAGGTAAAGTGTACGCTGGGAATCACCACATGGTCTAAATAAGCTTTGAATATCTGCATAGATTACTATGTTTCAATATTTCCGAACAAGAAAACAACCAGACAAAAATAAGGTTAGGAACATGAAGAAGACAAGAATAACAAAAGCACAATCTTCAACACCTTTCGGATGTAAAGGTACAACATCCAATACTGATGTTTTCTTAAGCAACAAGTTCTGCAAAGCACTGTTTAATCCCTTGTCACAGTTGTCAAACCACATGAACCTACATCAGGAAAAACATGTTAAAACAATTCAAATTGCAAAAGATTACGTTATACTGTATACACATTAATAAACAACCTGTTTTCACTGAACAATTCCAAATCAAAATAACCATCAACCGAACCCTTGCTCAGACCATCATAAATGGGCTTATGATCATGAAAAGATTGTGCTTTTGCTCCTCTTTGAGCAGCTTCTTGATTAAGGAAAATAGACACTGGTTCTTGCAAGATATCCTTCACCAATAAGAAATGAGAGCAGATTATGAATATCATAATTTAAGAAGCTTTTACAATTTTAGTGAATAAAGAGACAAAAAATCAAGGTGCTGGATAGTAGCGAGGCAAGAAAGCTAAAGGCTTGCCCAAATGAAAGACTAGAAACAGAAAAATTACAATGAGAAAAATGAATTGCTAGTGTCTCGCCTTCAGATAGAAACTTCACATTCATAAGATAATCTGTTTTAACTTGGTTTCAAATAGTAGAACTTTGTTTTAACATAGGATAATTACAGAAAGGAACTACACAAACGAGAAAGCAGGAGAAAGGCTATTGATTTTTAGCTCAAAAGTGTCCTTCCATACCACTGTATATCCAACAAATCCTTCTTTAAAAAAAAAAAAAAAAACAGTGACAATATACTGAAAATAACATGAATTGAAGTAGTTTAAAGACCAGAGAGATTAGGATGCATGGACCAAGCCGGTGCAAAGTAGTAGGGAAAAAATATCTGCAGCTGACATTAAGGAATAACAGTGCTTATTATGACTATTTACTAGTATATCACTCAGTCAACTATTTTTCGGGGCTATAAGATTTCAAAACTGAGGGGAATCAAAGCCCAAGAAAGAAGCCAATAAATTATCTGTAGCAATTATTAAATTTATTTAAATGTTGTAATAGCTAACTTGATTATTTTTCTAGTGGGCATTAGTTCGGGTATAAATTGGACCAGTGAGAAGGATTAGTGAAAAACAGGAAAAAAGGTTGCACATGTTCAAATCTGCTTTTGCATAATCTAAGAGAAAGCCTGATACTTACAGTATACTTTTGTATAAGCTTTCTAAGCTTCTGCCGACTCTTTTTCAAGCTTTCAATTGATAAATGACTCTTGCCATGCTCCCACCGACATAGTTTCACTAGTTTATTTAGTTCAACACCAACCTCTTTCCTACTAGAATCAATGTACTTCAATACTCTGCAGTCAGTCACATAATTAACCGATAGACATTAAGGCCAGGGAAGAAAATAGACAATAGATCGATGAAACAATAAGTAAAAGCAACTTACCTTGGTAAGAACTGCAAATAAAATCCAAAGATATTGTACAAGAATGTTGACTGTTCCAACTGACAAGAACTGCAGTGTTTAATTAAGAGGAAATGCCTTCAGATTTTATATTTAAAATGAGGCTAACATGACATAGATTCCCGTCAAAATAATTATGTGTCAAAAACTGATTTTTTTAAATAAGAGGGAATTGATGGTATTACAGTAAAATATTCTAGTGGCGTACATGACTTCTCTTTCCTATTTCTTCAAGAAAATAATAAGTGCTAGAGAAACAAATTGTACCTGGAATTAATTTTCAAACATGCACTGATATGATTTTGACCAAGGAAAGCAAAGAGAAGCTGAAGCCGCTTCCTGAATTCCCCAATACTGGACGTGTGAATGAAGTCCTCGAGACTGCAAAATTCAAAAGCAAAAATAAAACTAACTCCGAAAAACAGGTCACAAAATCTAAAAGATGAAACTGCAAACAGACTGAATTTAATCTTCTAACACGCCTTTGAATTATTGATATATCACAAGAGCTGGGTAGAAGTACTGAGTACAGAGGAAACCACAACTGCAACACAATCAAGAAAGAAATAAGTGATATTCTTATCTTGAATAAAAAGTATTATTTCAATAAAAAGATTCCTATTTACCAAAATATACAGATGAGCAACATGCCTAAAAGAAAATTAAAAAGATGCGAGTTTAGATCCATTGTTTTATTTATTAAAGGAGTGATATTGAAAGATGGGACAATCAAAAGAAAAATGAAGTACTTGGAGACAATGTTATCAACATGCATCACAAAAGAAGTGGCGAACGCTAAAAACACAATGGCGGAGTAGAAGATAGTTCAATGACCATTATACAAAAGGTTTAGACACAAGATAAATAATTCATTTTATGCAAATAAAATTATTTACCCATAACTAAAGATGTTCACAACTGATAATAAATAGTCAGGATCTAAAAAAATAATCATGAATCTTAGATTCAAAACACTAGAAAGTGGGAATAAAGACCCTAATGAAACGTGAAAGATAACAACATCAAGAGGCCAAGTTCTCAAACAGGAGGTGAGAATTTCAGTGTTTTCACTCCAATCAGAAACCCAGAACTGATGTAAATGAGAAGAAATTGCAATAAAAACAGAAAATAAAAAGTTCAAAGACACAAGAGCAACAACATAAGATGTGATTATCCACAATGGTAGCTGAAACTCATCACCACGAGTTCAAAAACAGCAAGACACAATGCGGCTGAGTCATGTGGCGACCGAGGCAACTTTGCACCACTACATCACAGGGGTCCTATTGATAACACTGGATTGGACATTCATAAAAGAACAGTCTGGCTTTAAGAAGGAAAATCAATTTGTGTATAAAGGTGGCAGAAGTTGCCAACTAACATGCTCAACAATATTAAAATTTGAAATAATAACTGAATTTTTTATTAGGAATGACCACATATACAACAAATAGAACATCTCAGAAACAAGCGGAAAAATCTTTTGGGGCAAAGGGTGATGAAAGAAGAAGTTTTTAGAATGAAAATTTTGTCATTGACCAAGGCACACAAGAAGATTAAATAAAAGGCCAACAGAAAGGTCTTGACAGAGCAATCCAATCCAAGGTAAGACAGATTTGTTCAAAGACTGTTCCAAGAAACTTCTGCTGATAAATATGTTTGTAATGAAAATTTCAGGACACTTTAGTTGATAAAAACATCTTTTTGTAAAAAAAGAGAAACTTTCTGTTCAATACTAGAAATGTCATGCTTTGATGAATCAGTAATAAGATAAAGATCTACAACTTCTGTGCCAAATACATCTCCTGATTCATCGAAATTCTAAAAGATAATTCCTTCCTACGCCAGTTTGAATTAGATGTTATTTTTGACAGGGAGAATCACTCATGGTTTATAATTCCTTTAAGGTATGTTAAGAGAGGATTTTAAGCTTAAAAATTCTCAAAAAAAAAAGAGCTGTCACAACCACAATCAAAATCAAGGTGATGGGGAGTGACGAATCAACAGCACCATATCATTCCTACAGTACTTTTGGGTATGCAGTGAAAGTTGAACTTCTTTTGATGATGTCCTCTCCAAATAAGGTGGAGTATAATTAGGATCTTTAATTATTCTTTCTTTAATGGAAATGTGTTGCTTTATATATCAAAATCAGCAATAATGTAAAGAATTGCCATGCAACTTACTTTCACCGCATTATTCTCAAACTGATCCATAACCTCATCAAGCAAAGCAGGCCAAGAATCCAGTTCCATCTTTTGCCATGAAGACAACAGATCATAAACAGATTTGAGCTGACCTACAATTAATTTAAGCACAAAAAAAATAAAAATAAAAAAAAATAAAATAAATAGTGAATCCAAAGAACAGAGTTTCATCTTTAACACTAGAAAGTAAATACATACTTGAAAGGAGGGACTTTGAACCATTTTCTAGCATAACTTGAACTTTGTGCAGTAAAAACTGCAACCCTGAAAAGGCCTACAGAGGAGAGAAAAGTTCAAACTAACTTGTAAACTTATGAATGACAATGTGTTTCTTTCTATTTTAACAAGTGTGTATGAAAAATAAAACACTTCTGAGGAAACATAATTAAAAAAACATATTCACAATTTGATAATGATAAATGGGAGCACATTCAAAAAGCTTTCAGTAACTATGTTGTTGAAGGGAAATAAAATGATATAGATATGAATAACCATATTGATCAAAACTAGGAGTTTATGTACTAAAAACACAAATACACTGTCTAGGAATATTTGCAAACACTTAAGAATGGATATAATGGAAAAAAGAAAATTCTACTAACATATAACTAATTGATTAGCAATAAAAGATAAAAAGTCATTACAGATCAATACAGAAAAATTCAAACATATCAAAAACATTTTCAATGCTTACAGAGTTGAAGGAAAAACGTCACCTATAAATAACTGTCAGGAGACAGAAATTTATACAAATTTAGTCTTTCCATCAAACAAAATCTAAGGCATATATAGGGTTGTCTCATTATCAGTAGATTCTGAAGAAAGAAACCAATTTGTATAGATAATGTTAGTCAATTTGGTACATGCTCATTACCTTCGCTAAAGGAGTATCTGATGGGAGAGTCAAAAGCATGTCAATGACATCCAAAATTTTCTGAAGATCATTATTAACTTCCCACTCATTTATATGAGGAAGAATCTGCTGTTGGAGAGGTCCAAGTACTTTCAACATTTGTACCAATTCAGGAGCATTTGAATCCTTCAGTTCAGAATTAATGTAAAGAATACACAGTCATGATTTTCTTACAAAAACAGCAAGGTAAAAAAATAAAAGCTCCAAAAAATTAGGAGTTAGACAACACCTTGTAAAAATTGTATCTGGTAGCAGATTTGTGAGATAAAAGATACTTCTTTCTATAGTCTAAACAGAGATAAAATAAGTGTTCTGGCATGAGTTTAGCATCTAAACTGGGCAAATTTGTGGAGTGGACACCTGAGGAAACAAAGTAAAGAATGGAAAATGAGACGTGAAGTTACAAGCAATGACCAGTTCAAATCCTTTCAAAAAAATGTATTAATGATTACCTCTGATTAAATCCATGCCCAATGAATATGACTCAATAAAGGAATGCAACCGATCATCATCAGAAACTTCAAAAATTCCAGGCTGAACCAAAAATGAAGTGTTATAACCACATGGGATTGAAAAAAATTGCAAATTCATAACAAATCAGCACTAGTAATGGCTGTGAACCATGCTTAAAATAGTGTTGAATTTCCCTAAAACATGATGATTAGTGGATGGACCAATAAACAATACTATCATTAATTACAGAAAATAAAATCATTCTTACGCTTTTACCCAACAGCTTAAGCGTTATGGAATAATTGAAAACCGCCGAGTATTAAAGCCCTTAAAAATATGTAGCTCGAAGTTTGATGTATGTTGCCACCCTGCTTCAAGCCCCAAAGGGAATTTGCAGGACATAACCGCAAAGTGCTTTCACTCAATGCCTTAAGTTTTTCTCATAATTGATTCATGACAGCATTACTAGAGTTATACTGTAGAAGTGTATTAATAAAGATGTCCCCCACTTTATTTTGTATTTTCTCTTTTGTCTATGATATTTTGAGATGTTGCATATGATTGATGTTGTTTATGGTGCCAACTTTGGGATGACTAAAAGCATAGTAACACTTTGACACTCTCATTTTCAATAAAAAAAATTGTATTAATAACAATAATCAACAATCGTACACACAGCAATTCAATCACAAGACAATAATGTCAATATTTTTATTTTGAAGACAGATAATTGCAGAGAAATTAGGGTGATGCAATTCATTGAGCCACTACACTATAAAACTCTGAATCTAAAATAAGTGAAACAAATGCTAAATAAGATTATATCAACTAGGAAACTTAGCATAAAAAAATTTAAAATCAGAAACCATATTCTAACTTGAATATATAAAGACAAAGATACAGAGACTCACAGTCTGGACTAGATCACTAGATCCAAATATCTGATTGTGAATGAGAACCACATGGCTGAGGATAGACGCTTCCAGCTGCTTCCATTCTTCATCCAATGTGAAACATTCCTCAGAGGATACCATCTGATTGAATAAGCATTTCATTTCAGACAACCAGTGTGTACAAGATGGAATCAAGAAAAGATACAACATTCAAAATTCATATAAGGTTTACTTTGTCAGCAGAATTTTCATCCGAGGAAAATTCCTTCCATTCCAAAAATGTTTCAGGTGCACATGAATTTGCAAGTGTTGGTAATTCAACTTCAATAACACTCTCAATTTGAAAAGCACGAGGTTTAAACTTGTACTGTTGGGCATCAAAATCACTCTTTGATTTTGCATAAACTTTCGTACTCATCCAAAGTCTGGCAAACTCATCAAATATCTTGTGCAAGAGCTGAAGTAGAAGATGTAGGAATGTTTTAAGCAAATAACTAAATAAAAAATACAAATGAATTTGTTAACAGAAAAACCAAAATAAGGAAACTGACCATATAAGACTTATCATCAATTATTTTTGCATTAGCAGTACAGTGTGCAATTTGAACAAGTATATTCCAATAGACAGCAGCTCTACATTGCACCACAGATACCTGTTTGCGAAGATTCACATACAAACTGATGAATAAAACTAATCAACTCTAAAATAATACAATCCAAAATATTGTTTAAGAATTTGAATTTGGAATGTAATTCGTCGGTGCACATACCATCTTATCAGCAGCAACGCCACTTGAAAGCCTAACCAGCCTTTCCATCAAATCGACATCAACCAAACAAAATCCTGTAGCAGGTTCTAGACTATATGAAGGATGCATGACTGACCCAATGTCGTGCTTAACAGAAATGAACTTGCATGAAGCAGCACGAGGGAAACGCATAAGTGTGTATAACATTTCCTGTCAAGCTCATCATGTCAATACACAAACAAATATAAAATAAAATCAAGCAAAACAAAACTCATGAAATAACATACCATAACCACATTGATGTTTTCCTGCCCAAGTGTATTCAAACATTTTTTTTCCAGGGTACTAGACAGAATCATTGACAATCCAAATTTCATCTCATACACAGCAACTTGAATTGGTTGAATAATGTCACTATATGCAGCATACTCATCCATCAATCGGTCAATAAAGCAAGTAGCTGTTTCCTGGAATTCAAAATTGGAAAGAATAATGAGAGAAGGGTATATCTATAGTTGATGTGGAATCTCTAATATAGATAGATAGATAGATAGATAGATAGATAGATTGTTAATTCTATATATTATTCTAAACCAAACAAGAGGACATGGACTGTAGATTTTTCTAGAACATACTCCAACAAATCTATATGCTGCCTCAGTCAAGGCATTACAGTAGTTCTCTTAGCCTCCCTGATGCCCAGGAAAAAAGTTACCTTCACTAGGATGTTCTGTTAATGGTGTAGGTCCTCTTTTATGAACATATCTTATCCCTGTAGTTAGCTCTCTTATATTCTTAATACATTCTATATATTTTTTTTTTTGAAACTATAATATGGATTTATGATTAATTAAATTATTCAGCATTTTAACAAAAACAAAAATATTCTAAGCAATGTAATATTTACATCAAAGTTATATAAAAAGAGTATATATAAAATATCAAAATGTGTGCAACCTTTTATTCATAAATAGATGAGTATTAATACCTGCCAGCTGCAAGCATGGTCAACAATCTGTTGTAATTCCTCAGCAGTACCCCTTCTCGCCAAAGCTTCCAAACCATCAACGAGTTTAAGAAAGTCATCACATTCATTCATTAACTTCTTGTATTTCCATGGCTCAGCACGAAACACAATCTAAGGCCAAGACACTCATCAGTTTCATCATTCATTTGAAAGGATGACAGCAGCAAAGCACAGACAGAGATCAAATGTAAATTACTTTCCAAAATAGCAAATAGAAACGGAAAGAGGGGGCTGGGTGTTATATACAGTTCAAAAAAGTGATAATGAAATACATATGATAAGGCCAGCATATATGCAAGCCTTATCAGCGATGCCACTTAAAATTTTCTTACATGTAGAATATATCAATAGACGATACTGCCAAAAATAATAGTTTGTTCAAAGAGTCTTCCTTTTTCTCCACAAAAGAAATTTGACAAAAAAAAAGGGGTTCCATTAAAGGGAACCATAATACACAATTTCAAATCACCAATATTTTTCCTTTGGTTTGCATCACCCATCACTACAATTTTCTTACCATAATTAGATGCATAGTAAAAAACATTTTAAAAACTCAATGCACTACTAACAGACAATGATTACATATAAAACATAAGGATGTAGAAACCTTTTTTTCCAGTTTTCGACACTCTGCCTGAAGCTTTTCCATCCTTTGTGTTTTTCTTTTGTCAGCCTCTCGTGTCAAAAACTGTCCAGCAAAATAACCACACTCTTTCCGTACCTAAAAGAATTAAGTAAATGTAAAATAGCTCACCCTTAATATATAGAACAATTCCATTAAGGAACTATAGTTGATAATAAATCATCAAACTAGTAGTAGAAGTAATAAATATTAAGCAAAGAAGAGTTAAAACATGAGAAAACAAAGAAAAGTATCACTTGTTTTGAAGATATTTATAGAATACCTGAATTTCAAGTTCAAGTGTCGATATTGTTTCCATGAGCTGAGAGTACTTGCAATAATACTTCATGGCGGGATCAATTTCATTACAGCTAAGCAATAGGTGAATGCGTAACGCTCCAATGTGTGCCCATGCACAACCAATAGTAAAATTGAAATCTAAGACAGGAAAAGATAAGAAAGATATACATAAGAGAGAACATTAATAACAAGAATAAAGATACATAAATAATAAGTATTTAATGTTACCAAGTCACAGCAATAGTAAAGAATTTACAAAGCAACAGAATTATACTACATTAAAAAGAATTCTATAATTATACTCAACATTGATGACCAAATAAAAAATCACAGTCAGTCATTATACATGTTTAATAATAAAGTGAAGAATAACTAGCAAATTTACCAGCAGCATTAGACTGAAGATACAGCTCTCTAAGCAGTGGAACTATGAACTTCTGCACTGAGGTTTTCAACATTTGATGTCTTGATGAAGTAATAAGAGAGCTCAGCAAGTAGATGCTTTCTTCCTAGATTCAGTTAGCAGGGGATTGAGAATAAGAAAATCAAAGTTTGGAAATAATAGCCATTCAAAAGGAATCCACAAATGATAGTCTTCCTTTATTCAGCACAACATTTTGATAAATTATTTAACAACCACAAATACGCCGAGATAGGAAAAAAAAATCTAAAAATAATTAATGTGTATTTCTTTTTCCATTATAATTTGTGTCGACAATTTTTTGAAGTAAAACTATATTGTACTTATTAGAAATCTAATTCATAACAGTTCAGAAAAAAAGATAAAAATGGTATTCTAAAATGATTTCTAGGAAAACACTGCCCAATGATAGTGTTTTAACTGTGTTTCCTATTGCAAAACAGGGAAAACAGTAAACAACCATACAAGCAATAAAAAAATTGAAGACATACCGTAAGTGCATTCTTCTCCAAAGAAGAAAAACTTGATTCAATCCTAGAAAATTGATCCGCATCAAAAGATTTTCTATGCGCATAAATAATCTGCATATAAGGGACGACACAGGCATGAATCAGTATAATAATTTAGCCTCAAATGATTGATTAATTAAAGGAAAGCAATAATTTTACCTGCTGGAAAAGAGAGCGAGCAGCATATAAAAGAAAATTAGGTAGATGTGTTCCATGATGAGAACAATGCCACAAATTGAACAAGGTAACTCTACACTTAAGACATTGCACCCAAAACTCCTTGATAGCATGTGTGCTTTGCCTGAAAATATTATCCAAAGAAGGATGAGACTTTCAATAACAAGATATTCAATGTCCACATGAGTTAAGAAATAATCATATAAAACAAAACAACCACAAAATACTAATAAGAAGCACATTTACAAGCATTTAATCACATTGACAATCATTTAATCCTATACAGCTAACCCACCTCCCCAACAATTTCCCTTCTCCTATATATAATTATTGGAAGTTTTATTTTTTTATTTGTCCTTTTAAAAACCTAAATCAATATTAATTACTTCTCAGCAATCATACCTCAACCTAATTCTAAAACATTTTAAAGACTAGTTATAAAGTAGAGAAATAATAGTAGTCAAATTAATAGGTTAAAACTAATTTTAAAATAACTGAGAAAATCAACAATATTTCTTTTTAAGTGGATACATAAATTGGAATGGAGGGATATTTAGGGACAGTGTAAATAAGGACTCATTCCGTATATATTATTTAATATATTTACCTCTTTTCCTAATTTCCTGTAATAGATGTTTTGGAATTATGATATACATATTCAACTATGTTGCAAACTTCATGCAGAAATTTCTTCCCCGTGTTATTTATGTATTAACAAAAACATATGACTTGATAGCTCATGGGTAATGAAGCCCCAATATGACTTAAGTAATGACTAACGTCCTTAGTTAGTTTATTAGAAGTTCCGCAAACTCAACATCAATAGCACGTGTCAAGAATTACTAATAAAATGATGTAATTAACTCACGTGATCTGCAAAACAGTTGATGCACTGAAAGGCTCAGTAAGCATGTGGGGAAGACCAGTTGTATCAAGGCCTTCAACCTTTGCAAAGTTCTGCTTAAGGAAAGATATCTTAAAAAGGTCAACAGGCACATTAATAGCAAGAAATAAATATGAAACCTTGCAATTTTAAAACTTAATGCATACCTTGACAAATTTAGAGAAGCATACCCACATAGATTCATGCCACATAAACCACATCTCCAGAATAAAGCTCGCAAGTTTCAAATTTACTGCATCGCAAGCCAAAGAAAATAAATAGAGAAACTTGAGAAAACTATTTAGGGTTCAATATAGTGCCATAGGCGCTAATACAATTATATTTATAGCAAAAGGGATGCATCAGAGAGTATATGGACCTCAACCCAAACCCTTAACCAAGCCTAGAACATACAAAGAGAATAAGAATAATAGACAAAACAAGCATTTCTCAAGAAAAAAATAAGTTAAAATCCCAGTGTCAGCATATTAACAAAGAGAAGCAAAATTGGAGTATTCACTGAAGCCTTTACACCAACCTGTATCCACTGAAGCCCATGCATTAAGGGTCCACAATATCTTTTGGTGTGGCACAAACATTTGTGGAGGCCTTGATGAGAAATTCAACGAAAATTTCAAAGAAAAGTCCAAAAGGTTGGATAGACTTCCCACAGCCTGTCGATTGAATCAAAGAAACATGGAAATTAAGTTTCCAGATTATGTGTGGCACAATATAAAAAGAGTAGCTACCCTCGCCTATTGATAGAAACAGCAATCTACAGTAGTATCAAACATAATAGGATGAAATGTCCAAAGTATCAAAACATATAACAGAAATATCAGAAAATACTTTAAGGGACCCACTGCTCCTTGCTCAAGCACTTAATTGAATGATTGTCTAACTACCCCCATTCCCCAAAGGAAAAAAATAAATCCTGTCCACAACATGCCCCTCCCCCAACCTCTTCCCATTCATCATAACAGATTCCTCTCTACCCCATGGATGCTTCATCATTCGGTCCCACCTTTTCTCCTAGTATATGCTATTGACCACTTAGTTTCATTCTTCACCTACTGAAACTGTAATATTTCATTATCCTCGAAATTATTAGGCCCAAGGGTCTCATCAGTCTAATATACGGAAATATTTTTTCAATACCAATAAAGAAATAGTTTTCATTCACAAGAGACAAACTTGACTATACAATCAAACATGCAGAGCCAAACCAATATGCAACCATAAGGAAAAAATGTGGAAAAAATAAATAGCTAATTGTGATCAATATTACTTGGTGTAATCCTTCAAGATCATCCAAATGAATTGATGTGAGTTTCTGTAATATCTCCATGTCCCAAAATAAACTGGTATAATCAACAGGAAGAAACGTATTCTGCCAGGCCTCAAATGCAGATTTTTGGCACAACATTTCAGGTGCAAATGAACAGCAAGCAGCTGAATTTTCAGCAAAAGCTGAAGCGTCTTTGGATCCTGTATTCAATTGCAACTTGTGTTTTTCATGTTCAAATCTTCTTAGCAGCACCTGTGTTACAATTATAACAATAATCAAACGATGAAAATGTGCATTATAGATATCAATACCATCATGCAAGGGACAAACCTGATGCGTCTCCTCCAACTTCTGAACAGTATGGATACCATCCTCATGACTCCAGTTCACCATTAAAAATGATGAGTTTGAGACATCTATAGAGTTATAGAATAAAGAAGAAATAATAAATATCTACAGTCAAGCTGCATAAACAATTAAATAACAAATAATATGCTTACATTCATCCCCATCAACCAAAGTTTAAAGTAGATGGGCAGGAAGCTTAAAGTAAAAAGTCATAAACCAAAGTTTAGAAATACAACTGAAACAGGCATATATCATTAAGCTAGAAAGGGAAATAGATCTAAAGATAACATTTCATGCTCATTTTTGTACATCCAAAGAATTCTAACTATCAAAGTGAGAGTTGCGTTCTAATACCTGAATAAAAAATGTTACAGGGGAAAGAGAAATGGCAATAATATACCTTGCATCACGAGGAAGCGAAGATCATGATCAAATGATGCAACAACATCAATCAGATGACTGCTCAAAATACCTGAATATTCTGAACAGAAAATGAAAAATGAATGAACATATAAAAAAATAATAAGTACAAAAATACAGAAAATTACAAAATTCTTGGGAAACATACTCCCATCTTAAGAATAATTTACCACTTAACTAGTTAATGATGCTCAGTTTGTGGTTACATACAAGCAATTGCTGAGTTGATTAACAGCTTAAGTTAAAAGGTTAAGTGTTCCAAAACTGAGAATATCTTTGACCATGAATTGTGCATTTGAAATTTTCCAAGAAGTAAATGACAAAAGAGGACTTTAAAATACTAAACCTTGGTATCTGAATCCTGTCTTTCTTGGCCAAATTGTTTCAACAAATTTTAAAAGCTGATGCTGTTGATCATGTAAACGCGAAGAGGAAGGCAAAAATGGGTGACCACCATGAATCCATAATAAGGATTTCTCTGAAAAAGAAAACTTCTTCAACTTTTTGCTCTCCATCTGTTCAAGAAGTAAAGATAATTAACTGTATGAATATAACAGAAACTATGAAAGATTTTTTGGTGACACTACTAAACAAGGAATGAGGAAGAAAATAAGGGTGCATTCACCCTTACTTAAAGCAAGTTAAGCTTACAAGATTTTAATTAAAATCTAGGATGCAAATACCCTTGATTTTCTTGATTTATACACTCACTCAGTAAATAGATAAAACAGCATGTTTAACTTACCATAAAGTTATCAACTGCTTTTGGACAGATATCTATAAACTTTTGAGCATCTTTCACCAAAGAATGCCATGATATTATCATCTGATCAAACTTCAAAGAAATGAAGTAACGCCAAAACAAAGCATGGTTCTCGATAAGGTTAGAGTATAACTGTATTTTATAATCAAATGATTGGTCCTCAATTAGCTTAGGAGCTGAAAGGACAAATTTGTAAAGTATTTCATCTTGCAAAACATGAAGGGACTTCAAAAGTGGAATGAAGCAACTGGCTTCTTCATCAAAACTATGTTGGCTCTCAATAATACGTTGCTGGAATGTTAGCCTTAGTGGATCAAAGCAACTAATAGCATTAGAGAGATATTTAATTTTGATATTTGATGGAGCCAAATTAACTATATCAAGTGACAACAATGGCATTAACTGCAAATCAACATCTAGTTGGTCACGGCATGAAATATACTCCCAAATAGGATGTTTCATCATCTGTTCTATCAGAATGGCAAAGTTGTTAAAGAACTGGCAAAAGGGCTGCAGTTGTGAACTGAACCACTTAAACCTGAGAAGATATAACTTAAAATCACTTTCTGTAGCTTGTTCAATTGTCCAATTGGCTGCAAACAATAGCATCTTATTTGCCAATTCAAAATCAAATTTGCACTCCCTTTCAAAGTCAGAAATCCTAACATTTGAAGCCTTGGGAAACATAAGTTCACGTAAAGTCATCAAGTCCATCATATATGCCCTCACATGATCACTGCAAGTTTGCAAAGAAGCTGTTGAGTGCCTCTTACGAGCAACTTTATATTGATGAGATGCAATCTGAGTTCCCAGTGATTCCAGATACATGCAGTTCTGTTTGATAGAAGCTTCTTTTGAGTAATATATATATTCCCTCAAGCTGAGTGGCAATGGCCATCCTCCAGGTAAACTCAAAGGACATGCTGTCAACACATCATACCCAGACAAATTTGTTACCGATAAAAATTCAGTTTTGGCAAAATCAATTATTTTCTCTCCCTCAACACCCAACGAGGAGAGGTATATATGCTCCCAACTTATTTGTAGACTCCAAATAGGACGACAACCATTCCTGAGAAGCTGCAGAAACAGATGAACCCAATGCGAGAGTTCAAGATATGTAATGTGATCGTTAAGCTTCAAACCTTCCTTTTTAGCATAAATGTGGGCTCTAGCCATTGAATCAACCAATTCAGCACTTGGAATACCAGATAAAACAAGAAACCTCCTGGCATCTTTGAGTTCAATATCCTCACCATTATAACCACTTTTGTCATCTAATGCCCAATATGGCTGCAGCATAAATATTTCAACTCCCCTATTACGCATTGCTCGAGAAACTTCCCCATACTGGGGATTAACTGTGAGGAACATGCGGAAATTTGGGTGTGGATGAATAACCAATGGTTTTCCATCAACAGCTCCACGCTCATTCACTGTAATTGATCCACAAGGTTCCACCAATGAATTAATCCTATCAAGAACCTAGCAACAAAAGACAGTAAAAATAGTTAAATAGTATCCATTTACAGGCTTGCACTGCTGCAAAGCTTCCATAGAAAAAATAATCAATCCAAGTGATAAACTACAATGGGTCATTTGGCAGATCTTACATGCCAAACTACAGAAAAAATTAAACAAGAAAATTCATGTTATCTATTTTCTTCTAATTTAGATTATTTGGTGAAAACTATTACAAATTCATTTCAAGATACCTAAATGGATTATCAATAAAAGTTGGGTGATGTGCAAGTTTAATGACCCACATGTCCATGACAACAACACACATTCAGAGAAAGAGAGAACAGAGAGAATAATTAGTTAACACAGTTCACACACATTGTGCACAAACAACAGAAGATTAAATACAATTTTGTTAAAGCAATAAGCTTTTAAATACATGAACTTGTAAGGCATGACATACCGTGGGGTTACACAGATTTGCATTTTCCAAGACAATCCATTCTCCTTGCTCAATAGCCTTAATCAACAATCCTGTAACCCATTCAAATTTGGTTGAAACAGCCCTTTTTTGATCATCTGCTTTCATCTTTAAAACTGTCTTCATGGCCAAATCAAGTTCCTGTAAAGAGTAGGATACAGGAAGAGAATTCTTTTCTATCTGCAACTTTAGTTGTTCAATGAACGAACAAAGTGAACATACTATTTTATTCTGGTTTTCAAGATAATTTGTAGCAGAAGAAGGCAAGCTGTCAAATTTAAAGGCAGAGAGGAAAGCAATCCATCTGTTATAGAAATCTGTTTCCCTTAAAATTGCATCATTTGAAGCCTCTAGTTGCAAACAGATGTACTCATTAACATAGCGCTCAATTTGAGCAACAACATTGAAAAAATTACGCAAGCCATCATACTGTTCAAAAGATCCCAATAGTTCAGATATATCTGTTGCAGCTGAAAGATTTATTTCATTTAGCACATTGCCTGTTAGGTTAGCTAGTAATCTTATCATTGAAGTTTTCCCAGAGCATGATGGCCCAGTCAAGATACATAACCATTGATGCTCTACACATTGGGCAGCAGCTTCTAAACTTTGACGAATTTCAGGCAGCATCAGGAGCTTTTTGCTTGAGGACATAGTTAATTGGACATGATTCCTCTTAATAGTAGCATTGCCCACAATTAAATGATGGGAATTAAGTTGAACGCAGGGGTACGGGTTTATAAATGGTGTCACCTCAAATACCTCCTTGAAAACTTTTATGACTTCCTTGCGATCAGCTACAGTACGCATTCTCTGAATGTAAACAATGTTCAAGAAGGAATACAATTCAGAGTGTTTCGGTGCACCTAAATTGAATATAAAGAAATATCAGACAAAAAAGGGAATGACTCTCCAAGGGACATTAAATAAAAAGAAACCAGGAAAAAATATGCAGAGTAAAATTAGGAGTGAAAGGAATATGAATGATAGAACCTTTAATTATCTCACAAGACCGGAATACATCACGAAGATTGAACTCCCACGGAAACCCATCCTTGGCAAACTTTTGATTTACTGTGGTGTCTTCATGCATCCTTTTATTGAATAAGATTAACTTTGAGAGTAAAGGTCGAGGGATAGTCGCAAATTTTGATTCACAGATGGATAGATAATCTTCCTCAACTAACTCGTCAACATACACCTGGATCAACAACAGAAAAATAAATATTTGATAAATCTAGCATATTATTCAACAGAAGAGGAAAAACATTTTGAAACCGAACATCTTCATTAAACAGAGCAAAACAAAAAAAATTAGAGACTCTTTAGGTAATACCCGATTCTAACCACTACATAGAGGGCTTTGGACTTTGGATTCCACAGGTTTGCTTGCTTTAAAATCCATCTTTCAACTTATAGCTCAAAATAAATGTAAAAAATTACAACCCATCAGCATACCTTGGTAAATCGATTTAGGAATGACTTTGGAAGGCCTTTTCGGCCACCACCTTGATGTGATGGATTCTGACAAGCAAAAACTCTAAATGATGGTGGACATTTAAAAGTATTTCCCAATTCTGGTATAAACACCTCAGCTCTGTGGTCCAGAATAGCATTCAAACCCTGTTACATAGAGAACTATGTTAAAGAAAATAAGCATAAAAGAGAAACAAATGGAGATTGAGATTGATGAGTAAAATACTTCTAAAACAGATTGTGGAGCAAGATTAAGCTCGTCCAGCAAAATCCAACAGCCTTCCTTCAATGCCTGCAAAATTAAGTTGGAAATTAAATCCACAAAAAAGCATACATAAAAATGATATGTTTCTGTACAAGACAATCAACCTGCAATAGTATCCCATCAGACCAAGAGAACTTCATTCCCTCATCACTTTCAACCGGTAAATCAGACCCTAAAAGATCCATCATATCAGTCTGCACCAGCAATACATATATGAATAGAAAAGCTTAACGCCAGAACTTTTAAGATGGCAGAAATAATGTGAACAAATTATTATGACAAACCAAGTGTTAACAAGGACTGATTACTGACCTGCTCAGAAAAGTTTACTCGTACCACTCTGTGCCCAGAACATTTTCCCAAGGCAATGATTAAACTAGTTTTCCCAACACCTGGGCTACCTTCCAGTAAAACTGCATATGTACAATCATTTAAAACTAATAAGTCTAATAATTTAAATAAGAAATTTAGATATGATTAAGCAAAAACATACCAGGCTTTGGAAGTTGCATAGCACGCAAAACTCTCAAGGCATTCCTGCAAGTAGTAGGTGCCATGAATTCAAACCCACCATCCTCAACAGCGCCAATACCTATATGCACGCAAGATAAACACAAGAGACAATCATTATGGTAGTAATTCACAGTGTATACAAAGGAAAATAAGACTACGGAGTAGGAAGTAAGTGAATCCTTTTAAAAATCCTTAGTTCAAATAAATAAACAACACAACTACTCGTTAACTCATAACCAAGGTTGTCAAATTTGAGAATTTACATAAGTGGAACTTTTGCAAACTTGATTGGTAGATTAAACTTGTAAACTGAAAAGAGTTTAGCTAATATAAAAAACAATATTAAAATAATCCATTAATAACATATATGTGTAACAATAATTCAACATTTTGACATTACAACAATGAAAAGTAGCAAATCAAAATAATAAAGTGTGATAGTACGTTAGTTCTAAATAAAACTAAACTACATAGATGACTAAATCATATATAAATACATTAAAGAAAAAGAGTTTTTAAGGAGAAAATATTGGAAAAGGAGTTAATTTCTTCAAATAATGAGTCTAATAAAATAGTCATTGTTGGGTAAAATTCCAACATAAATTAAATTTTATTTCAAGTTTAAAGAGTTTATCCAAGTTTACTCATAAAAGAGTTTGATAGCAAGTAATTTTTCCCTGTTTAGGATCGTAAACTTGTAAGAGTTTAACAGTTAACTCTCTTCGTCCTTTATAAATTATAACTATTTTAGAGGGGAAAACCCTAATTGATAGAAGATGGTATATCAAAAATGGAAATAACGTTTATACAAAACTAAATCAGATAATAAAATTGCAGCACCACATTATTACCTTTATTGATATAGAATGGATCAATGCCAAATAAATCACCATGTTGTGTATTATTACTGTGTGCCACATTCATTGTGCAGCCAAATTCAGCCCAACTGTAGTTTCCCATTCTTGAAAGCCTTGAATATAATAAATTACTTTCATCAACCTGTAATAAAAGCTCAGTCAAGATTCACAATATTTTTGAGAAACAGTAATGGAAATAACCCGAAGAGAAACAAACAAACAAAAAATAGCATTTTACATTCAGACCTCCATTTGGAGCTAACATTAAAATACAAATATGAGCATTCCACTAAAAATTACACCATAAATACAGAAACATTCATATGAACTGCACATAATTGGGAAATAACTGACCAACACCTCATAAATGAAATTTAAACAAATTAGTTAGAGATACTTGTGTGGTGTATGTGCATTTGCATTTCCTGCTTCTTTACACCTTTTATGGCTGCTGTAACAGATTACTTTCTGTCAACTACTTATATAGACAGGTCATATAAATACTAATAGCCATGTATCTTGATCATGATTCAATTCTATGGTATTACAGTGACTCTACTTAGCTATTAGACAATCTGATCTCTATCTTTGCTATAATTTTCTTTAGCTTGGTATATTCCCATCAAAATTTATTTACATAAGACTGGTACCTAGCAGGATAATGTTGTGTGTTATTCAATTTAAAGGGGAATTGTTGTAAAACAACATAAAAAGCTGACACATGTAGGCTAGAGTCACTAAGCGTTCACCTTGATACAAATAAATATAACAAAACCATGACAAGGATAGTCAAATCTAGACAAACAGAACCTACCCAAGAAATGACAACCCCAAATTTATTTATAATAATAATTATTACAAGGAAAATAAAAAAAAACTAACAACTATTATTTTCAAGATAACAATTTAAATATCAATACTTCTTAAAATGCATTGAACCCAGCTAAACAAAATATAACCAAGTTATTTGGAAGAGTAATGAAAAATAAATCCTCTCATTTTTAAGATAGTGCATAAAAGATGAATAAGGGGAGAAACATACTCTTAGCTTTTGTAGAAGAAAGGAAAGACATCTCTCCCTTAGCTCTGCAGCATCCGTTTTGGAAAGTCCTGTCCCTGGTAAAAGTTTAGCAACTGTCAATAAAATATACGGTAAGATATAATTCATGTCCATGCAAACTTCTAGAATATATGATTGAATGGTGTTTCTTCGTCAGGTATTTTGGGAGCTCATAAATGTAGTTTGGTGTGATAGAAAAATAATAGTTTAATACAAGAACATTCGCCATATTCACCTCAATGCTTTAAGCCTTAAGCAAAGTTTAATACAATTACACATGTTACCATTCAACAATTATCATTCTATGAATTTTACCACCCAGGTTTTTTTTTACCTCACATTTTATCATCATGTTTAGGAAGTTTTACACATTTTACCATCATTTTGGTAACAAAACATCATTTTGCAAAAACAAATTATGATAAAATGACATCTTTTATAAGGACACATCAGCACTTTATTATGCATTTTAACGTATTACAGTTCTAGAGAGAGAGAGAGAGAAGATAAAGTAAAACTGAAAGAAAAAATCTATATCAATGTTAAACAAAATACAAGAGTCTCTTCATATAGAATCAAGAGAGATATAAAAGCAACTAATAAGCTTAAAATCAGAATAACTAAAGACTTGTGTAAAAAGCAACTAATAGAAAATTACACTACTCACATAACAGATTGGTAAAAAGCACAAAAATTTAATTTAGTGAAATGTGTCGAAAAAAACCTTGTGTAAAATTCACAAGATGATAATAGTTGAGTGTTGAAATGTATTATTAAGCCTAATAAATTCATCTCCATTGCCACAATCACTAAAATAGCATACCCTAATACCATGATCATTACCACCACCACAATAATTGTAACAAATATAAGTTATTATTAATTTTAAAACTTTTCAATTACATTATTGTAGAACTCTAGCAAAAAAATAGATGTGGAGTCCAAATAGAGTTAATTCTCTGTTCAACTCAAACACAAAAGATCCCTAGAACATTCTAAAAAGCCCCAAGTGGCAAAGAGCCAATATTAAGCTGCCAAAACTTTTAAACTTGCACATGTCATCTATTTGGACTCAGGACACATTGATAGTTGATTAATATAAGATCAAAAAACACAGATATAATATAAAAAATAAGGGAAGTAGAATAAATGAAAAATCAAAAACAAACTTAACATACCTAGACTTAACCCATCAAGCAAAACAAGAAATACTCCATGAAGAAGTGCATGCTCGGGTCCTAAGCTTTTTTCCATTGCAATAAAAAAGTCAACCCAAGAAATGAGATCTCTCACTGTAAGCATTCTCCCTGGATGCAAGTTATTGAACCACTGGTATGCATGGGAATAATAGATAGCAAGTGAATAATAATAATAATATATAATAGATCAAAGAATCCATAACTAAAGCACCAACTAGCACATAAAAGTGTAATAGTAGTATTCAAACATCCTGAATTGCTGACAAAAAAAAATAGTATTAAAATATAATTACATGCTAAGATAATATGAAGCAATAACCTAAATACACCAAGTCAATTTTTTTTTTATATTTGTGGACACAAGAATGAAGATGAAGAAGAGAAATCCAAGAGCCAAGCACTGATAGACTCGTCAAACCCTTTTCAAATACATACGACAAATTTCAACAAATAACAGAGGAATACACACAATTAAAATAAAAAGCAATAGAGGTATAAATACTTAGAAACGTTTTCACAGATCTTAATGGTATCAGAGTAGTATAATGGGGTACCATACCACCACATCCACAGCTAAAATCACAATAGTGTGGTATGGTCGGTAGATAAGCATGCCCCTTTAATCATGTACCCAAGGGTTCTCTATCGCTTAAGCCCATGGATGGAGATCAACTGGTGTGCAAAAATCTTAAATGGGTCTCAGTATCTCACGAAAAAAGACTCTAAATCTCAGCAAGGGATACCTCAGAATCACACAAAAAACTACCACATTAACCTATTACTGAAATCAACAACTAAACCATAAGTGCAAACCATGCTAATATCTAACCACAAATGACCAACACAGTAGCTCAAAAAGTCCAATCCCGAAATAACCCAATCATTTCTCATACTCAACCAGCCTTCTTTAGAAATTACCCACCATAAGTTGTTGGGTACCTGAAATTGAGGTAATGCTGAAAACAATAATATTATGGTTAACTAACTCCATGGACACCAAGAAAAGTATCTCTTTTAAAACAATGCAAAAGATATCATTGAATATTTCAATAACATACTAGGACCATAAAAATTCTACTTGATGCTTTTATTTGGAGTCACCAATTTAGGACACCGAACAACAGAAAGTGTCATTGAATATTTCAATAACCCAATGCAAACATGAAAAGTTGTTAAACTTTTGTATGAACCTAGTTGGAAGAGTCCAAATGACAAGAAATATAACAAAGATAGCTGGCACAGTGGTGTCTAGGACAGTGGTGACTAGGACTAGGGCAGATGAAGAATACAGGAACATGGCCAAAGGATCTACAGTGGTTTGGATACAATCTACAGAGTAGAGGTTATTTGAGGATTTGAATATTCTTTACACACCAACAATAGATATCCATCAGTACAATCACAGTAGAGGGCTGCATGATTGAATAAAACATGTGAGAATCAATTGGAGCTGTAACTAAACAAGAAATGGGAAACAGTATAAATAGTTTGATAGCCTACATCCCTGCCAATGCTAGACTCATTATGCAAAATTGCCAGATTCAGAGATAATGTCTGGTAGAGAGACCAGAGAGAGAGGAGCAGAAGCTAGCATGTTATTCAAAATAGATAAGCAAAAGCTACTCAAATCAGATTTTGGGAACCTTTGTTCACCCTTGTTAAACTTCTACTTTTTAACTTCTCAAACTTAAGATGCATGATGCCATTTCTTTTAAGAGAAAGAAGCCTAAAGAATCCTTGGCAAAATAGAACCTTAATGAACCAAATCCCCATTTTTTAGATGCAAAAAAGTGAATGACTTCAATAGTAAATCTTTGTAAATATACCTCAAAAAAACATATCATTGCATTGACAATAAGTGAGAGTGTTTCTTGATATGCAGGGCATGAGTTGCCTTCAACTTTAAATTTGGAAATTCTGCAAAAAAAATTAAAAAAATACAGGTAATAAAGTTATATTATCTAAACACTGAAGCTCGTACTCTCATATAGAAATTAAAGGTACCTTTTCAGAGCAATGCCTTGAAGCTCATCTAGGTCATTAACAGGAGGAACCCATATCTCTGTAAACCGATTGCGTAGTGCCGGAGATAACTCCTTCTTACCATAATCACCACCAGGATTCATTGTTGCAAGAACAAAAAAATTTGAATGTGCAGTAATTTTCTCCAGATCAGTCCCTCCTTTCTCAGCTAAAGACTGCAACCACATAACAGAAAACTCAAAAGAATCAAAAATTGTAGAAATGTTGACAAGCAATTGTGCAGAAAAATGAATCCAGTACTAAGAAAGCACAATGGAAACTACTTGTGCTTATAGATGCTCAATATTTTGCCATTCAGTGAGGTTCTTTCAGACAGATAAAAGGCAATTTGAAGCACTCTATTTTTAACACTTTATCTATATTATCTTTTTTTAATCTTAGTGTCTTAGTATCTATCCTATGATTCTTCTGTAACATTAATACTACTTATAAATTATATGTCTTCTCAATCCAGCAAAATAGAGATCTCCAACTTCTCAGAAGATATGTCCAACAAATAAGAAAGGCCTGCCCTCCTCATTCCTCCCCAATACCTCTTTTGGGCAAAGATTAAACAAGGAGCCACCACATTTTTCATTTGGGATACTCTATGTAATATGTTCACATAGTATTTAAACACACACAGACATCAAGAGAGCAATATAAAGAGAATTAAGGATACCATCATTTGATACACCATGGGCTATAAAGCTAAGTCTAAAAACTGGCTAAAGCAAAAAGTTTAAATATGACAATATGGGCTATAAAGCAAAGTTTAAACACTGTCTAAAGCAGCCAATTTAAATATGACAATATAGATAATAAACTTACTAGCATCCTTTCTGGCTCCAACACACTATTCAATCTCTCGAGTACACTATCATCAGCCAATGATATTTCATCCACAAGAAAAAGATCACCGTCTCTCATTGCTTCTATAAGAGGACCATCCTGCCACACAAATATGCTCTGCCACTTTTGATGCAAGCCATTGAGATCCAACTTAATTTGCTCAAGAGCATTAAGATCTTTTCTGCTCACTTCCAAACTACAAACATGACCTTCTTTACATTTTCTTATCATACCATTTAGCATATCAAGAGTTGAAGAAGCAGCATTGATGTCAGAAGACTGTAGCAGAAAATGACAATTCAGAGTTAACTTTATTTCAATAGCATTGATTCAGATAGAAGGGAAAAGGGTAAGAATCATTGTGTAGATAGAAAAGCAACTTAAATACAGCAAAACCAAAGCTAAACATAGATATATAAACTAAACATTCTTTGTTTGATCATAAGAAGAAAAAGAACACTCACAAGGTCTGAAGGAAAGTATGTACAAGTCTTTAGTTTCTTCAACTTTTCAATGATCTCTTTATACCTAGAAATCAGCGTAGATCTCTCTCGTATAGGACGGAAACCCTGGGAAACATTTTCTAGTAAGACATTCAGCTATTTGAAGTGCTTGCAAGAATGATTATAAGAAAAGGCATGAGATAACCAACCCCAATAAAATCAGATGTTTCTGTATATTGATGGCAATTCAATGTATGTAATTTTAACTGCAAACAAGCACTTAATAACTGGCACACAGTAGTCTTCCCTCCACCTGTTTCCCCAACAAGCAGTACAGGCTCTCGTAAATTATAGCAGCGTTCCACAAGAAAGTACAATCTCTGCATACCTTTGGTCAAGAGCACACTGCATAAAAAAACAGTAAGAGGTATTGAACTTAAGATTTTGGACCAAAAGGCAAAGGCGACAGGGAGTTCATACCTTTCCAGACTATCTGAACCTCCAGAACCAACAAACAAATTGGAAGAAGAGTTGCTTCTACATAACATCTGAAATACAGTTAAAGATATTCGATGAAGATAAATTTAATTTCCAACCCTCATCAATTCCTTTAAGTATTGAATAGGCAATAAGATGTACTAAACTGAAGAGAGAGAATAATATCCGAACAACTCATCACTGAAATGAGACATACCATATACTGCACATCATCAACATAAATAGAATATATTACAATATATAGGTGCAAACAAAAGTTCTGAATTTGAGTCGAGATATATGAACTGTATGCAGGTAAAACAAGTTCTGAATTTGAGTCGAGATTATATGAATTGTACGTAGGTAAAAAGAAAAGTTCTGAAAGTCCAGATTATATGATTTATTTTCAACAACACAAGTATTTGCATAAGAAAGGAAAAAATGAACATATATGGAGTAAAATTTGACAACTTCACAACAATTAGCTTTAAATAACTAAAATCCAAGATATAATGTACATAATAAGTTTTCAGTGCTAAGTCAAGGAAAGCATACGCTAGTAGCCGCCATCTATATTACCTTCAAGTACATTAGAATACACAATGATAAAATCTACATCCCAAAGTCAAAGAATACTAAAATGCCAGGAAACCAAAATAGTAAAGAGCAACTATAATCCACTGGCTAATCACAGAGGAGCAGAAAACACTAAAAAAAGGATCATACCTGTTCATACAATTCTTTTATGTTTAGTTTAACCCGAAAGTGCTTCTCCAGAATTTCTTGAACAACAGACTTTTCATCCTCATCCCGCAGCCGTTCTGCCAAAAGATAATAACCATCTTTGGCCAAATCTTCATAAGTGTTCCCAAATTTCTGAAATCGATCAGCCCAACGAAACAAGTCTCGAGGTGTTATAAATCCATGTTTGCCAGCAAAGACTCTGCTACTCTGCCTGTGCAACCGAAGATCCTTCATCACTTCAACCATTTTTTCTGCATGACCTACATAGATTTTACATCTATCTGCCAGTATTTTGCTGAGCTCGTGATCTGGAATTTCACCGACATGAATCTCGACAAAACGATTACGAAATGCCCGGGACAACATTTTGCGGCCACCATAAAGTGTAGGTGGATTTTGAGTGGCAAAAAGCATAAAGTTTGGATGTGCTTGAATTCTTTCTTGAAGCTCAGGCACAAAAAGCTCTCTGTTATCATCAAGTAATCGGTTCAATGCCTCCAGCACATCAGATGGAGCCAAATTAAGCTCATCCAATACAATCCAGTGACCATTTCTTACAGCTTTAACCAAAACACCTTCATTAAAAACAAGCTTTCCACTAATATCAGTTATATAAGAACCAAGATATTCTTGCAAATCAGTGTGTTCATGATTGTTGATTCTTACAAAATCATGACCAGTTATTGCAGCAAGAAACTGAACAAGGCTAGTTTTCCCACTGGAAGTGGGTCCCTGTAAGAGGATGGGATATCTCATTAGAACAGCACGTGCCAAATTCCCTAGATGCTCTTGTACAGTTTTAGTTTGAACATAATTCCCTGAATATCCATCAGATTTGGATGTATCCAAGTAGTGGGTAAAATGTACATGTGGAGGCATATGCCCTCCTAACAGAAGAGACGATATCTTCTGCCTCATAATTTCAGCACTGGGTGCATCCAACAACGAAACAAAAAACATACTAAATCCATCATATAATGCCTTTGGCAATCCAAATTTTCTTTCTGCCTTCCGTGTATATTCTAGAGCACGATAAAGGGACCTTAAACTGTATTGAGGTTTCTGATTAGCACTATCCTGCAACCTCTCTTCAGATTCCTTTTTTGCTTCTTTATAGAAACACACAATTTTATTAACCAACTGTTGATCCATATAGCCACTACTAATGAACTGACTAATAAATAGTCTTAAATCCTCATCATTCAAAACATCATCGACAAAATACTCAGTAAATCTACTCCTTAAAGAGAAGGGCAAATCACGCTTCCCTGCATCTGTTGCTGGATTCATGCAAGCAAATATTCGGAAATTTGGATGGCGATGTATATAATCCGTATCACCTCTTTCAGCTAAACACAGCACACCATGTTCTCCTTCTAGAACACCAACAATTCTTTGCAAGGTTTCTGGAGGAGCCAAATTCACCTCATCAAGCAAAATCCACTCACCCTTTCTAAGAGCAGTCACAAAACTTCCTTCTACAAAAGAAAACATCATTGTTGAAGAAGGATTTTTTTGACAGACATTATGCAGTTTTATACAAAATCTCTCCCAAGATTGGATTATTTTTTCTTCTAATGGCCTTCTACGCTTTCTGGAAGATCCAGGTTGTATAAGCTTAACTGACTTTCCAACTGCTATTTGCAATCCTTTCAACAGATCTTCCCCATTCTTATCAACTAAAAACTTCTTTCGATGACTTTCTAAATACTCATGTAGATATGTAATAAATTCTGCATTATTCTGAACAGCAGAAAAGCATTAAAGCCATAGCAAAAACTGCACACGAAATATAAATAAAAAATAAAAAAAGAAATACCTTTACAGAAAATGTCTTCGTAAAAAGTTCTTTGAACTCTGTATAAAGGGACAAATACACAGACTGAGCATCCATAGGCTTAAAACCCCCTAGTAAGTCAGCAACGTCACTTTGTTGACTCAGATTCTGGATCAAAAAAACCATCATTTGTCATTCAAACACATTTGAAACACAATTATAAATACTGTAAACTAATAGAAAGTGGAGAAATATGTAACATACAAAAACAGTAAGCTTTTGACCAAGCCTTGATGCCAAATTTTGAACAATGGTAGTCTTCCCAGTACCAGTTTCTCCAACCAAGAGTACAGGCTCATTATACTTGACAGAGCAAGCTATTCGCTCCAATACATGCAGAGAACTACGGATCTCAACAAAAGGTCTTTTATGTTGATGTAACTGCATTTGAAACCAAAATAAGGCAATACCAAGGAAAAATGACACCTTTTACCAAAATTGTATGATCATTTAAGGTTAATGTTGTCAACTAACTAGACCAAATACTTACCGGTTTTTCTGTGTACTGCAGGGAAACTCGGCCTATTCTTAAATATCTGATAGAATCCTGCATTATAACATACAAAAATGAGAAACTGAGGAAGCAAAATCATGAAGCAAATATTTGAACTGCATTACATAAAACCTGAATTATAGGTTTGTCAAAGGGATACAAGGTCTCAGCGGCAGAGACAGGCAACTTCCACAACTCTGCTATCTCTTTCATTACCGACAAGCGGTTTTTAATTGAAGATGAAAATGATGCAAATATGTCAACAGCCTGAAATACAAGACAGAAGTTAAAAAAACACGAAGCAAGTCTAGGAACATAATACAAGGAAAACAAAAGAAAAAAGAACTCGAAAATCAGACCTCCTTATACACACTAAAACATTGGTTTTCTGTTAAGCTACCATCAAGGCAAAATCCCAAACTTGCAATCCTTTTGCACCATTTAAGCAAATCTCTATCGCAGACAATCAAAAGTCACATCAATAACAGAAAATTGAAAAAACAAGCATATTAAGAATATTATTATTTTAATTACCTCAATGAGAACCTGCAAGTACGGTAAACAGAAGTAGAACTTCCCTGGTGAAAGCCCGCAAATTGATGCATGGAAATAGAGTTAACCCTTCCAAAGGTTTCTGCCAAAAATATGCATACATATATACATAGATTCTTCAGCAGCAATATAATAACTAATGAGATCATTTAATGTGCTTAATATATATACTTGTATTTGCATGAAACTAAAAATAACAAAATATCATGTCAATACCTATGAGTTGGCCAACATGAAGCTCCAAATCTGGATACCTCACTTTGAGTATCTCTTTCAGGTCTTTATTATCAAGGGGCGGAATCATCACTCTTCTCCAAAAGACACTTAATGAATTTTGACCTTCCAGAATAAAATAGTCAACAACGCATTTACAGTCCAAAAAAGAAGAACAAAAGAAATTATGTTCAACAAAAACAGCCAAGTTTTCCCCACTACATCAGGTGGATGGATCAAAATGTACCAACAGTCTACCAAAACCTTATACAAGAAATTTTATCCATATAAAAACCCACAGTAGATGGAAACAATGATAAGCCATTGGATTAAAGATGCATGCACCCTGGAAATTCACAAATGCAAAGAACTTGCAAAAAAATCATCTGTTCCTTCAAAGATGTATGCATCATGTTTCAACCTACTGCATCAAAGGACTGCATTTACCGTACACTTCCACAAAATGTTGGTCTCTTATAAACAACATACCTTGGAAAGGATCCACACTAAATTACCAAACTACCATGGGTGTCAAAAAACAATATCATGTTGCTAAAAAAACAATGAAATAGAAAACTTGATAGATTTAAGGTAAAAACCTGCACTCTCAGATGTGTCAAACTTAGAAGCGGAAATAGTTGAAAACATTCTAAAAGATTCAGCCACCCTAACTACCTGCACAATATGCAATACTTCAACAATTAGTGACAAGCACAGAGGAATGGACATAAAATCAACTCATTTAGCACTCTCATAACTTGTGCACTAGTTTCACCCAAATGTGGCAAAAAAAATGACATGACTTACAAAGCAGATACTTTCTTGTGAAATGTGTTTAGGGTTAATGGTGCACATAAAATAAATCTGCTCACCTAGGAGCAAATTTTCATAATATTTTGAAGGTTTTTCAAAAAGAACACAGAATATGATTTTATCACATAGTTTTAATATATCTTATTGGAGAAACATGTCCATATTTGAAGTTGTCTCTACAGTAGAGAATTTGAGGAATATAATTGTCATTTTGGCTTCTCTTTGGTGTTACACTGTCTCCACATGACTGCCTGTTTAAAGTGAATCTTTTCACTAATATTAACAGAAATTAGACTAGCTTGTAGCATTTTAGACACTTTATCCAATTATACAAAAAAAAATTGAAAACATTATCTAAACATCTAACACTTCGGTAAATTTTGAAAAAGGATGGTTATTATTTGACATAAACCACTTCAAAATGTAACACATGAACATATCAAATATACCAAACAACTAATCTTGCAAAAACAATATAACAAACTGAACTCCAATAACATAATTTAAAAAATGTAAAGTGCAAAGAAATCACCTCCCCGTGTCCTGTTGCAAATGAACCAGCCCCTTCTAATAAAGGCACTAATATGGAGTGTAAATCAGATGGTGCTTTGTTGATATCCTCAAAAACAATCCACAACCCGTTCTGCACAGCCTGAGATTAAGACAGTACACAAGTAAAATAAGAAGCTTACTAGCAATTATCTAGGCATTTGTTAGAGCTGATTGATACTATCAAAACAAACCTGGGTAAGTGAACCAGGCTGCCATCTAAACTCCCCAGGCCTATCTGTACAGACATAAGCTCCAACCAATGTTCTACCATCAATTTGGTCATCCATCTGAATGGATAAAACTGCAAAACAACGTAAGAGCACAAAAATTTATTGATTTAACAACAATAAAAGAAGAAATTTAATGCAAGTTTGGTTCAACTTATTCTTCAAAACAAGCTCTTACTTTTACTAGCTTCTTCTGATAGATTTGGAAAAATAAATAAATTATTTCCCAAATTTAAGCATTTCCAAACATGAAATTAGAGATGAAGCGAAGGTAAAGAGGATAAATAATCCTCATAAACAAAATTAAAAACATAAAACAATCAAAAAGTAAACAAGCCCTATGAAAGAAAGGCTGGGAGGTCTGCACTGAATCAATACCAAACACCTAGCACAGCTTACACATTAAAACAAAAACATTACCTCCACTTCTACCAAAACCCTGAAAATTAATCGTCAAAAAATTGAATTCACTGGAACTGCTGATTAAAGTCCCATGAAAATAGCTGCTGAATATGTCAACAAATAATAGATGCAGATTCTGATCATGCACCACAAACTACACACATATCAAGGGCCCTTAATTGACCTATTTACTTGCAACATATCCGCACTATTAACTATTCGAAGTACCATATGAAAATGATGAAGATTTTATTGAATCATTTGATAAAACGAAGATTTTATTGATTTGATGAAGTCAAATGCTAATCTGATGAAGTCAAAGGTTACTTGGGTTAAAAGGATAGAGTGATTAATGAGTCTGCATCTTTACATAGGTATAATCATTCATATCTATCTGCTGCATGAGGTTTCATCATTTAAAAGATTTTAAAAATACTTCTAAAGTTAAAAATCAAAGTAATCGGTTAATTGGTTGTTTTAACTGATAGTATATGAGCTTTATCAATTAAAATGTTCTTAAAACTTACATAACAGTTTTTTTAACTAATAGGTTTTCGAAATAATCGATCAAAACTTTTTAAAACATTCACTGGAACTGTTTTAATCGATACACTTTCGAATTAATCGATTAATTTCATTAAAGGAGTTTTTTGAAAATCTTTTGTCAGTGTTTTAACTTATATAGTTTCGAAATAATCAATTAAAATCACTTCAAATGTTATGGAAAGTGTTCTGACAGTATTTTAATCGATATAAACTCAAAACAATCGATTAAAAAAACTTGAAGTGTTTTGAAAGATATTCTGTCAATATTTGAATAGATACAAACTCGAAACAATCGATTAAAATAACTTGAAATATTTTGAAAGGTGTTCTGTCAGAATTTTAATCGATGTAAAATCGAATTAATCGATTAAAACAATTTAAGGGAATTTTTGCTAGCTGTTTTAATCGATTAAAACTGATTGTTATCAGTTAATATCACTTAAAAAGTTTTATGAAAATTTTTGGCAGAATTTTAATCGATTAAATTGCGAATTAATCGATTAAAACAACTTAAAAGATTTTTTACAAAGTGTTTTAATCGATTGAAACGTCGTCGTATCAGTTTAAACAAATATGGAAAATGATCAAGAACATTTTAATAGATTAAAATAAGTTTTAACAAATTAATTCAAGACTTTTAACAGATTAAAAAATTGTTTTAACAGATTAATTAAACCAGCAGTTAGAACAAATCTCTATATAAACAAGATTGCTTCAGTCTTTTAAAATATACCTTTGAGCAAGCAATCATAAGTGAAGTTTTTCAAGAAAGAATTGTGCAAGTTTTGTGGTGTTTTTGAAAGTTCATTCTTGAGGCATTTTGGCATTTTTTTGTGAAGAAACTCATATTGCAGGGACTACATAATCCGGATTAGATTGTTCTTGTTTCTTCCCTTTCGTTTTCTTTCATTCTTTGTTGTTCTGTGAGTGCATAAAATTGTTAAGCACGGTTTCTGTGGCTGGAATTTGGCTGCAGGTTGATTCAAGAACTGGAAGTTGGTTCTTGGTGAAGGTTTAGGTGCAAGGACTGGAATTTAGGTTCTTGTGATAGATTGGGTGTGTGATTGAAATCTGTAATCTGTAAAACATTCAATCTAGTAGAACTCAGCTGGAATTTGGCTGAGAACTGGACATAACCCTGGAATTGGGTGAACCAGTATAAATTTTGGTTGTATTTCTCTAAACCTTATTCTCTCTAATTTTGTTGCTGCCTTTATTTTAATTGCTTGTTTTGCTTGATCAAAGAATTGGTCAGAACTCTTAATCTTTGAAATAGATAATCTGTAAATTGTGAAAATCTTTCAAAAATCAATTCACCTCCCCTCTTGATCTCAGCCTCTTTTTCTAACACCATAATCCACAAAAAAGACTAGATCTTACCTGAGTCTCAAATTTCAATAATTGTTAATCAAGAAAACATAACAAAGTGAGGAACTGAAGTAAAAATTTATATAACAAATCCACAGCAAGATCAATGCACCAAAACCTTTTTGTTCAAATGACGTGACCTATTAATGAGTCAGCCCAAAAAAGGTCTCTAGTTCAATATACTGCCCTTGACCTAAATTATGAAGAAAAAAGTGTATATAAAACAAATTTATAGTTTCCATTTTCCATTAAGCATGTAATGACAATTAATTTAACATAGTTCAAACCACCCAACTTCCCCCGGTAAAAAATGCATGACACATTCTTTCAACTCTATAAGCTCAATCAATTTCTAGAAAAGGGTAATGTAAAAATAACAATAACTAACCAGTAAATATTAAGGCATACCTTGATTTCCACTATCCTGAGCCAGCTTGGAAATGAGAGCAGATTTTCCAGAACCAGAGGGCCCATACAGAAGAACAGGCCACTTCTGGCTGATTGCCAAAAGAACTCTATCATAACTTTTCTTCACCATTGAGGTCAATACAAATGTATTACTTACTGATACATCATCCCTAAAATTACAGACGATGTCAAAAATCAAGGGTAATCCAAATGAAATATGGAATATCAGTATGAGTTTCCAAAAGAAACTACAACAAATAAACCAAGCAAAAGCATAAAAAGGATTGTTTAGGAAAGTTTAAGCACTATAAAAGTAAGTGAATATTATTTAAAATTAAAATGCCAATACAAGTCAAAAACATCAGCATTTCAAATTCGAATCAAATAAGTTGTACCTAGTGGAAAGCCGTTGCCTCTTTAAATGTGGCTGCAACTCATGAAACTTTGGTGAACTAACAGGCAGATGAATAAAGCCAGAGGATTTTAAACAGTTCTCATTATCTAAATCCATGGTCCTATCTGGAGAACTGGACACATAGTCTGTTGGCTCAACATACCAACCAGCTTTCTCTAGTGATGTGTCCTGACAGAACTCTTCCCAGCTGAATATGGAAAGTTGAAGATTCGTAATTAAAAATGCACTATATTTAAGTACTACACATGGCAAAAATAAGAAAACAATACCGACCGCAATACACAAGAAAATGCTTCCTCAGCCCCAAGATTTAAGTTTTCAGTGGCTTTATAACCTAATTTGAGCAGAACGCTCAATATCTGCACCCCGCACCAGGTAAGATCTGATTTGCATGGATCTTTTACGAGGTCAATAAAACAAGACCAATCCCAAAGCTTTGTGAAAATTTCAGGTTCCATTAGAAGGAAACGGTATGATATTCGTGTAATATGCAGTTCTTGGGTCTCAACCTGGTGAAATAAGGCATTACTTAACAATATGCAGAAGCATGACTCAAATTATTTCTCAAAAATCCTTTACAAAAGAAATGTACTAACCATAATATGTTTCAGTGAAAATCTTACAAATGGAGCCGGAGCAAAATTGAAATAGCTTAATATAGAACTGCATCAAACATCAAAGAATATCACATAATGGTATTAAAAGATAAGTCAGAGCAAAACAAGCTAGAAAAAAATTCAGATCCCTACAAAATATTACAGGAAATCAATATCATCCATTAAAAAAAGAACATCAGAATAATAAATCATTTTTCTCCTTTTTATTTTACTTTCTCTGTTGTATTGAAACCATATGAATATCGCCTATTAATGCACATAACTGGGAAAGACAAATAAGGCATGAAGAGTTAGATAGATAAAATGCACAGAAGAAGTCATTGAAAACAAGACTCAGTAATATATGAACCTCAACAAAAAAGGACTCATGTCAAGAGCACGACAGAAAGCTAGACAAGCAAGCTCATGAAGATCCAGACCCCTTCCCTGTTGACTATAAATCTCTATAACATTCACCACTCCATCCAAAACTCTGTCGGGATCATCTTCACAAGCAGTACCCTCGGGAATAGACCTCAAATTTGGCACAAGACCAAGCAAAGCAACAGCTTTATCTACAATACTTTGAGCAATTGGTCGAAAACAACCCATCAACGGAATTGTATAACTCGGGTGCAGAAATACCCCTACTAACACATTAACTACTTCCTCTTCTGTCACCAAGTCTCCCTGTCCAGAAGAGAAAACACAGAATAATCAATACGAAAACAGAGTGTTTCTCTTATTGGTTAAAATTTGGGAAGTCTGGTAAATTACGAGTGGAGCTCGGAGCAGAACCCACACAATTTTGTGATTTTCAACAATTTTCTATGTAAGTTACCAGCATTTCTTGTACAAGAAGTTTCCAACAACCAGAGAATGTATTAAGAAAGCAGAACTACATAGTTTGTAGGTTGTATTGAAACTTTGGCGTTTCAAAATTCATAAAATAAAGTTGAACTGTATTGAATTCTTCACAAGCTAATTTTACGTCTATCCGGTCATTAATTTTTTAAAAGTAAAACAATAAATACAATTGACAATGGTCGCAATACCCTCCGTGCGAGCGACTCAAACTGCGGAAAACACTGTAGCTTTGGACAACGATCAAGTAATCTCCGAAGCGAAGAATGAAGACTGAAACTACCATCAACGGCCATTTGAAGCTGAAACACTCTTCTATAAGCTGAACAGTTAAATATTAAAAAGCAAAATATATTGAAAACAAAAATTGAGCTACTCCGATTCAAATATCAAAATGCAATAGAAAGAAAACAAAAGCTATTAGGTTAATTAGAGAAGGTTAGGGTTGTGTGCTGAGAGTGTTCCGCGACTCGAATAAATTCCACCGATTCCCAGTGAGTCTCTGTCCCGAAAAAATCGCTCTCTATGGTTCCTGCTGTTGTTTGTGTCCAACAGGGTTTCTGTTGTATGTGCCAACAGGGTTTTAGGGTTTAAGAGATATATATACGTTCTATTCTAGTCTTCGTTTGCCTGTTGGACTGTTCCCGATTATGAGTTATTTAAAGAAAGCTAAGAATTTTGAATAATAGAAAATACATATAAAATTATAAAAATATTAATTAACCTCCTTTAAATATAAAATATAATGCATGTTAAATCTAAATACTTATTAATACTGAAGAAAAAAAGTTTATTCACATTATTTATATAGTGTTGAAAAATAAATAAATAAAAATTACTCTTTTTACATAAATCGATTGTGTTTTAGTAGATAATTGATTATGATATAACCACTAGCTTGAAGATCAATAATTTTCATTTTGTATCATGTGAAAGGTTTACAAGATTAAATTTTATTCAATTGTGTGTTTAACCTAAGATAAAAATTCAATTTTTGTGGAATAGGAGAATTTGAATTGCTGAACACAATCATTAAACCCACTGTTAATTGATTTATAGTATTTCTCTTTTATGTCTTTTTTTTATTTATTCATATTTTTATTTTTATTTTTGTTTTTTTATTATTCATTCATATTTTTATTTTTATTTTTATGTATACAGTTTTTTTTTGTTGCTTTTAATAAATTTTAAATATATAGTCAAAGTTTTAAAATGGTACAAAAATCTTGATATAAAATTTGTAATTCTTTTTTTTATATCATTACTATTTAGGATCGTAATTAAAAAAACAGGTTTAACGCATTTTTAGTATTATTTTTGTCATTAAAATTATAATATTTTTATATATTTAAAAAATATTCAAATTTTATTTTTAAACAATTTTTAATATATATCAAATTATCAAAAATAATTACTCTATGATAATTATATTATATTTTATTTTAAATACATATTCATTATTATTGAATTTTATATAAGAATATTTTGGTAATTTATTAAATTATATAATTAATATATTTATTTTATTATTTTAAATCAATAATCAATTTTTAATTAGATTCTCTTAATTTACACTCTTTTCTCTCTAATTGAAATAATTAAACCTACTACCTTATTTCTTTTTCATTTCTTCCTTTTTTTTCACCCTTCATATCCTCTTTCTCATCCAAAAACTTTAAGGAAAAAGATTTAATTAGAAAGACAATAAATTTTATTTTATCCTTGAAATTTTATCAACTCCCTCATCCAAACAAAGGCTCAAAGGAGAAGATTTAAGAGGAAAGCATAATAAAAAAAAATTCATATAACTAATATAATAAATATGGATTAAAAAAATAGATAAAAAGAAATTAATGATCAAAATGTGATTCATGGTTTATATATATATATATATATATATATATATAGAATAGAGATAAAAATAATTGAAGTTATTTAATTATAAATTACTTAAAAATTAATTAAATTTATAAATAAATAATAATATAAATTTTATCGTTTTTATTCTAGGATATATATATATATATATATATATATATTTTAAATGTTAAAGTATTTTGACGTTTTTAATTATATATGAAATATTAGTTTTTTATTTTATATATAAATTAATTTTTATCTATTTTATTAAATAATTATTTTATATTTTAATCAAATTATATTTATTCTCAATAATATTATGTTAAGTTTGGTCATTTACTAATTTATCTTATTTTTAAAAAAAATTATGAGTAAAATCAATCTTATTAATTACAACTTTTCTCTAATTTCTCGTCACTTTCTACTATCTTTTTTACAGTAATCTTATTTTTCACTCTTTCAATCTTTATATCCTCTCAAATCCACCTCAACCCAAACCATGTTTAGACAGTCCACCTAATATGTGTTAAAAGGAAAAAAAAATTGAACAATAATATATATATATATATATATATATATATATATATATATATAAAAGTGCATTTGCTTATTGTATTTTTTTAATTTATTGTAATTTTTTGATAAAAAATTGAAATAAGAGATTTAATTAGTAAGAAAATAAATTTAAGATAATAAAATTAAATAATAAATATTACAATTTTTTAATTTACTATAATCTATAACATTAGTTTAATTTATAAATTATAGTTTTGTAATTTATTATATCTAGTAATAATAAGCTAATTTATAATTTATCATTTACTATATTATTTATATTTTTAAATATTTAATCTATTATTTATAATTTAATATATTATTATATAAATAAATTCCTGTAACTTGTAGTTTATAAATTTATAATGTGTTATATAATTTGCAATATTGAAGTGCCACATTTAGAATATGCTTATTTACAAAGAAAATGAAAAGTGGAAAATAATTAATACACTTCAGTTGTAATAATAATAATAATAATAATAATAATAATTATTATTATTATTATTATTATTATTATTATTAATATTATTATTATATGTGATGTAAAAAATTCTTTCAAAAATATTAAGAATATAAAAAAAAATCATTAAACAGGCTTTGTTTGACAGATCTTCCAACAATATATGATGATTATCTTGTTTTAATATGTAAAAAATTCATTATACTTAATCACATGACATGTACAGATTGGTGAGGAAGACGATAGTCTCAAACCATGTAATAATTTTTTGGGGAATGTGTGTCCTCATCATCCCATATCCTTGATATTCTATTCAACTCTGGTAAGACAACACTTCCAAGTTCTGGTCTATCGCGTTTTCTCAATTCACAACATTTTAAGGCCAACTTAGCAAATGATGAAGCCTCTTCCATTGGCCAATCTGAAACACTAGGGTCAAGCACCTCACTAAAAGTATCTGACAAAAGAGCCTCCTCAACTAAGTGTGACAAACCCATTGGAGGTTTTCCTGTGATGATTTGTAGCAACACCACTCCTAATGAATATACGTCTGATTTCACACCCAACAATCCTGTTTGTTGATACTCAGGGTCAATATAACAAAATGTTCCAGCTGCACCAGTCAAATGATATTGTGTGGTTTTGTTAGCCACTGAAGGAGGAACAAGTCGTGCCAAACCAACATCACTAATCTTACTCACGTAATTCTTGTCTAAAAGGATGTTTGCTGGTTTCAAGTCACGGTGTACGAGGGGTTCGGGCTTTGTCTGATGAAGAAAAAGAAGACCAGTGGCAATCTCAGACGCTATTTTGAAACGTGTTTTCCATGGGATTGGAGGAGTGCTGTTTTTTCGAAAGAGACGATCTTCTAAGCTTCCATTTACCATGTACTCATAAACAAGACATCCGAATTCCGGACATGCTCCTAAGAGAAGCACCATGTTTGGATGTCTTATGGTGCTTAAGACAATAACCTGCATGAAAATAATTCATTAATTAGCATTGATCCTCTGAAAACAAAATATTGACCAACTTTTGTAGGCTTATTATTGTTGTTAAAAGAAAACTACAGTTACCTCTTGTTGAAATTGTTTTTCTGCGTGAGCTATATCTGGTCTCACGGCCTTAATGGCAACAATCGTGTGATCAAGCACTCCTTTAAAAACAGGTCCATATCCACCTTCACCAATTTTCAAGACATTGTTGAAATTATTTGTTCCAACTTTAATTTCTTCGATTTTATATCTTCTACAGGGAATACTATTACAGACAACTTCATGCAATGCTTTATTCCTCTGTTCTAGCTCATTCTTGGCCCTTAATTCAGCTTCCCTTCTCTTTTCAGTCTCCTTTCTTGCTAGGCGTTCTGACAATTCTGCTGATTCAGCAGCCAGTTTGGCTCTTTGCCTCTCTGCCTCGGCCAAAGCCAATGCAGTCACTTCAGCAAGTTTTGCTTCTTCTACATCACGTTCCTTTTCTTGCCAAGACTTTTCAAGCTCCATTACCTAAAAGGAAAAATAGATATACTTTTAAGTTTTTTTTCCTAGTGTTCATTATAAAAAGCATTGATTAAGAGAAATTGTTAATGATATAGAACCATATGGTTACTGGTCTTTAAACAATTTATCATTGCACTCAACAAAACTTAATGACATTAATTTACCTTTTGTGTTGCTAAAACAGCTTCTTTGCAAGCCATACCATACTTCTCTGTAGTTTTCTTCAGTTCTAATTTCAATTTCCTCATTTCCTTCTCCAAGTTTACCTGTAAATCGTTCAAAAGGGTATATAATACTCACATTTGAAAAACATATGCATTTCAAATGATGAAGGAGTAAAGCATTACTTAAGCTAATATAACCTCAAACTTTGTATTATGATTGTGAAATGTATAAATCATGTCATTTTTTATACTTTCTGAAATGCATGTGTGAAAAAAAACCATGTTCTTTTTTTAATGATAATACAACACTTACTGCTTTTGAAGCAGCATTGTTCTTAGGCTTGTTTGAGTTTACAACTACTTCGTGGTTTTCATTTGACGTATGAGTCAAAGGAGGACCAAGTGATTGCCCTGTGCTGTCACTATTTCCAGGAGAACTTCTGGTTGATGAACATTGTGATGAGGCATATTCAGTTGGACCTCTTGGTGAATTGGAATCTTCATTGGACTTATGTAGGATGACATCTTTTATTTCATTTAAAGATTCCCAAAGTTTACTAGACTCTCGGCTAATTTCATCTTTGATTGGTTGCCTGTATGGTCAAAGACAATGTTAAAATGCCAAGAACATATAAATAAGTCATTGAAATCACCCATCAACTACTACAAATACACTCCTTTTCAAACTGATAAACAATTATATTTAAGTTCTTGAAAACTAAAACCATTTGCTTATGACTTAACTATTGTAAACAACTTGGAAAACGAAAAAGTGTTAGAATAAGGCATACCTCTTTATATTTTCGCAAGCTACCTGGATATCAGCGAGATCCTTATGTGGATGAACCAATGGAGCATTTTCCAAGAGAATGACAGTGTCTTTCACGGATCCAGTTGGTGTGGCTTTAATATGCTGATGATGAACATGATGACCGGTTGGTCGAATATGTTGTGCTTTTCCTTTTGATATAACATATAACGAGCAAGTATCTGGTAGAGATTTTGCTAAACTAGTTGGCACATCGTCTCTATTAAATCTCCTATAAACCAAATAAGGCCATTGGTTAAAACTCAGTACAAGGTTTTATCCAAATACTCTGTTTTTGCATCATAATGCTCAACAATCAAAACCAAGTTGGTAGAATGCAAGTAAATACGATGACAGCAACTTGTGATAGTTGTTTCAAATTTAATTAGAAATGCATTTGAGACAATGTTTTGCTCACCATTACCATACAATCGTTGTAATTGTAAATTTTCAATCACTAAATGGTTTATGGTGGCATAATCACATGTCTCACCAATAAGTTAATATTTTCATGCGAATGTTTATGTGAGAGAAAGTTACCTTATAAGAGAACTCCAGGGAGAAGTAGCAGCACCAACAACAACGGTGGTAATACAATTTTCAACAACGTAATCAACAATTGCATTTGAAACTTCAAGGTCATGCAAAACCAATTCCTTTGTTGTGATCTGAAATTATTAACATCCATGATTATAATTATAACAGACATTTGCACCATGATACAAATATGAGGATTTAAAAATTGATATAAGACGTGTTGAAATACATTACTCACCCCTTTTCTGGCACAAAAGCCTCTGAAGGGAAGAAAGAAATTGTGCAATTCTTCGTCAGTTGGTGGACGACCATGTTTGGGTACATCATTAACATCTTCTGCACAAACCAAAATGTAAAAGTCATAACTATTTGACATGGATGAAGTATCAAAGGTTGAAAATTTTAAAGGGCCAAGGAAAAGGGAACCCTACCGGTATTTACGGACTTGGTTCGAACATGGATAAGGATGCATGAGGAGTTCTTCTTTAGGAGGTACTCCACAGCCCATTTGACGGCACCATTGCTATGCCGACCGCCGCTGACTGCGATGACAGTGGTGCCTCCGCCGACTACAACGGGTGCTGATGGAGTTTGCATGAGAAACATTATGGGCAATGGTGCCTTTGACGTTGGAGTACTAGAATATTAATGAAAATAAATTTAGTAACTGGTAACAAGGTTGTTCTATATTCTCATGAAGTTTGTTGTTGACCAAAAACCACCATGATCTGGCGGGTACTGTACTGTTAGTTGGATTTCCATTTTGTAGAACACTTATGTCTATATGATGTGCCTAAGTTAGACCCAACAACGGTGTGTCAATGTTAATTATAAAGTGAGATAGGACTATTTTCTTGAATATTTTGATCAACATGAACCCTATAATTAAAGTGTTACAAAATTAGGGTGATGAGAATTTTCGATCTCATCTTATACAGTCTCACCACCACGTCAATTGTTTATTTTAAGGGGATTTTAGTCATGTTTTTTATTGTCAAACATGTTTAGATTTCAACACATTACTATATTCTCCTAAATCTGTGCTCTTCTATGCTATTCAAATTCTATTATGAAAGATTTCCGAAAGTTTTGTTTTTTTTATCCTTTATATTGTTAAGGAATTACTCATCTTGCGACATGAAATGATTAATCTTGTTTACAATCATCATTGCATATAATGAAGCTATTTCTTTTTAATATAATTTATTAAATATTCAAAGTCGCGTCATTTATAGAAAGAGATAGGATTTCGCTTAAAAAAAACATGTTATATTTGTATTTATATTTTAATTTAATACTCTAAAATAACAATACATATTCGTTTATTATATTAAAAAAATAGTCAAATAAAAAAATCTTTAATCAATAAATACTTTATATATATATATATATATATATATATTCTTTGTTTTCTAAGGAAATACAAGATATATAGGTATATATTACAAGAGATACCAATTGATAACGAAATAGTTGATTTTATGATTTTTCTTTCTCAAATCTTTCTTTTTCCTTTTTTTCATTCACTTTTTCTTTCATAGGAGAATGAGAGAATTTATTATTATTATTTAGTTTATTGGATAATAGACTAAATTGACTTTTTTTATTTTTTTTTCATAAAATAATTATTGTATGATAAAAATGTAATATTTCAAATTAAAATAAATATTTTATTACGTTAGTCTTATTAGATTATTTTATGTGACAAGCAATTAAATTTTGTAATAGAAATAAAATATCAGTGTTTAAATTTTATAAATATAAAATTTATAAAATTATTTTTAAAAAAGAGTTTTGACTAACGAAACAACTCTGAAATATATCATTAATAACAACAACCTTCAAAGTAATAGTACCCTCATTATCCAGAAATAAATTCCAATTTAATTTTTTAAAGTAAAATTACCACACGATGTCGTATCCAATGTACAATGTAGCGTATTTATTTTGTTAATTAATTGAAACGAACAAAAAAAAAAACGAGTTTTCGACCTTGTACTATCCACTTACCGTTCCCAACAAATGAACAACGCCGCCATGTAGAACATAAGCACTTCCTTTTTCTTCTCCAGAAGCGATTCTCTTTCTCATCTTCCCTTGCTTCAAATTCAAAGGTGAATTTTTAATTTTTATACATTTTTATGTTATATTTTCTTACTGGGAAGGACGGAATGGAAAATTAGAAGATGGGTTTGTGGGAACTCCGATAATGAAATATGGGTCTTCGCTATTTTCAAACAAGTTGATGTTTTTGTGTAAAAAGTTTTAAAATTGTTGTTGTATTGCAGGCATTTGGGAAATTTTCTTTTATATTATATATAATTATATATATATATATATATATATGTGTGTGTGTGTGTGTGTGTGTGTGTGTGTGTATATATATAGTTTATTTGAGCTAATAGCTTTACTTGTAAGCTAGTGCTGATTTTGGCAAGGCTCTATTCTCATTATTCTTACATTAATTCTGAAGTTTGTGCATAACTATACTTGACTTGTGTGTTATGATTTCGGCAATTTTGGGGAATAGCTTGAAATGCAATTAGTGAGATGGAATTGGTTGATGGGAGTGTTTTCTTGCTTTGCCTTGCAAGTGATGGATCCTCTAGCTTGCATGAGAAAGCAAAGCAAAGTTAAACTATATTTAGCGTTCATAATTGGGCATTGCTTGCATGCTTGGTTATGTTGAGTGTCAATTGAAGAAACGGCTCATAATTCCCTTTCTGGTGTGTACGCTTTTTACGGCGCTGTAGATGAATTAGTGTTTTTTTTATGTTGAAAAAAAATAGATGTTTTCTTTGTTCAGAGATGGCTTTGATTCATTTATAATATCCTAATTTGATTTTGATCACCCGTTTTCTTCTGAGCAAAACTCTAGATTCTTTATCATTAAGCATCTATCCTCAATTTGTCGATTGTCTACCTCTTAGATGTTCGAACTGATTATAATTTAGGACTGGAAAATCGTGGCTGGAAACTGTCCGCTCCAGTTATGTTAAACTCGGAATTGAGATTTGAGAATTCTTTATAAGGAGGCCAGCTTGTGTCTGAGGATACTTTTTAGTGAAATGGTGGAATTCCATATCGTTTTTGTTTGACTTGTCTCGTGAAAAGTGCAATATCTAGTTTGTTTGGGTGTCTGTTTATTTATACTATTTGAAGTGACCTCTTATTTGTGGTAGTGTTACCAGGATATTCCAAATTGATTTTAAATTTCTTTTTTCTTGTGCAAGTTAAAACACTGCCAAATTTTCTTCTATTTTAGTGGCTCCAATTAGGTAGAATACTGGATTTGTCATCTGAAAGTAACCTGCTATTGTATGTTGCTGCCAGGCTGGGTGTATTGATGATTTTGTATGTAAATGCCATACAAGAGGCATGAATATGGTGCTTGCATGGTATACAAAAAGGCATAATAGAATAATCTCAGTATCTTACCATTAGTATTTAGTGTCAGATTTCTTTTTACTGAGGGTTATATTACCTTATATAATGCCTAAGAAACTATTAGATAACTGTGGTTCTTGTATTGATGCCTAAAAAACTATCATTATGCATTCCTGGATTCTTCAATACGAGCTATTAAAGCAATACTTGTTCTTTAAATCAATCGCCCAAAACACTTCTGCATCTTCTTTCATGTAGAGAAACAGAGTATGCAAATCTCGCGGTAATCATTGAACTAGAAATGGTCTTCTGTATTTGACTGATTTGTGTCAAACTATGTACACTTATAAATAATTTTTGTAGAAAGCAGGGTTTAGCTAACTATTCTGGTCCAATAATAAGCCTTGATACTGCGACCTATAGAAAGCTAGTACTTATTGTGCTCCATCTCTGTTAAATGGACAGTAAATATTTTATATGTTCAACTGTTGAAGCACTTTGTTAAAAGGTTTTCATTCACTGTAGCTTCTTCGTGAGATTTTGTTGTCTGTCCGAAGGAACAATAAACTAAAGCATTTTAGCCACTTGTTGATTGGCCTTGAATGGCTGCCAATTTGAAACCATGGTTTGTACAAAAAACTTGTCTTTTATATCCATTTTTTCCTAACCATGGTTTTGTGGTTCTCAATGGAAATCCAAAAACAAAAGCACACTATTGGTAGTGGTTACCAGATGACAGATATGAAATATTCAAATGGATAGGAAATTCTAAACTCCTCAAATATCGGAGTGGTTTCATCTCTTGCTTATGATTGACTGACATCACACAGGGTAACATGAGATATGCTTGGAAAACCCTTAAATGAGGACAAAAAGCTTTCCATATTTGTCAATGCATAGTTAAAAAGTATATGATTATCTCAATGCAGTTGGTTTTTCTTTTCATGGAATGAGATGTACAAATTCTTCTTTATTATGTTCTATTGCTACTCTTATTTAGTATCTTTTTTGTTTGTTTTGGTAATGATCACGAACTTTGGCAATTGACATCTACTTCTCATCTTGCCTTTAATTTTTCCTTTTCTTGTTTATCTTTTGGTTTCTATTCCACCTCCTATAAGGATTATGATTCTAAGGACTTCTTGTTAAGAGAAACACTCAAATATGCAAGATCTCATTTATGTGTGAGAAAAAGTAGACTGAAGTTGAGTTTAACATATACAGGCCTCTAGATGGATACAGCTGAACAAAGTAAAGGCGAGTACGCTCTTACCAGGGATACAGAGAACCCACTATTGGGAAAATTTGACAAGCCACTACCATGTTATGGCTGTGGAATTGGTTGGTTCTCGTGAGTAATATGTATTGTTACAGATTTACTCTTTCTCAATTTCTTCTGCTTGCATAGTTTGATGGTTGCATCTTCTCCTCCCCTCTCCCTTTCTTGCCAGCCTTCTACTAGGATTTGTCTGCCCATTAATGTGGTATTATGCTACAATTCTGTACTTTGGAAATTACTATCATAGGGACCCGAGAGAGCGGGCTGGGCTTGCTGCTTCTGCAATTGCTGTAAGTCCTGTGCTTAAGAATGAGTATGCATTTTCATTTCAATTGTCAAAAAAGGCTACTTTACATGTTATCCTCTTTGAAGTACATTCTGTTGTTTCATTGCCATGTCAAATCGTATTTATCTTGTAGTTGGAGTGATTTATTTTTTAAAGTTCTTATTTTTATGGGTGTTGCAGGCTCTAATTTTCACACTTGCTGTTGTGATAACAGTAGCTGTTATTGTCTTGTAATTTTACTATCAACTAACCTATCTCTAGCTGTGAAAAAAAAGTCACTTCTAACATCGGCCCCTGCATGAGGAAGGCAAGCCTGATGAACCCACGATCAAGCTCTTGTGGTCGCTTTTGATCATCAAGAAAGTAGGTACCAAGGCACCAAAAGTCCAAAGCTAGTTCCATTTCATTATGTGAACATAGAGCTGCTTTTGTACCCCTTTTGGAGTTGTGTATAGACAAGGATGATGTCATGTAACAAAGATTATATCCGAAAATATGATTGAGCTAACTTGTTTTGGTGTGCATGTTTCTTGATATTGGTAATTAGCAGCTACCTTTCATTTTTTAGAAGTGAAAATATACTGCTGGTGCTGGTGTTTGACCGAGCATGAGCATGAGGAAAACCCCTATGTGAAAGTTCATTTCCTTTCGAACTCTTCTCATGTTGTTTACGTTCAAGATGAGAAATTGCATATTTGCCAAGTACTTCAAGAAGTGAAATATGCAAAACAAACAGGTTTTAAGTACTTGATGGGTTGGTACTTGTTTTCTTACCACCAAAACTAATGACTTTGATATGACATGGTTCTAAAATACGCGCAGAACATCATTCAAATTATCTTTCTTCCAAATCCATCTTAAACTCTTAATCATTTAAGTAGAAATAAGACTTTCGAAGGGTTTTAGATAATGATGGAAAATGAAAACATACAGATTTAATTTTAAAAGTAAAAAAAATGATAACTAAATTTGAGTAAAGAAATATTGGAGTTTTAAAATGATACAGTTTAGACATTAATTAAGAGAACAAAAGTAAACTTCACATTCAATTTCTGTGTTTGAAGCCTAACTTTTTAATTCACAAGTTTACAGTGTTTTCAACTTTTTGGAGAAATAAAATCATTCAAGTATTTAATTTACAATGACGAATAAATATTTTCTATTTTATTCTGTTTTTACTTTTAAAATAGATAAATTTTATTAATAAATTTTTTTATTGTTAGTATAAGACAAATTAAAATATAAAAATATAATTACAATTGCCAAAAACTCTCAATTTTCAAAAATTTCAAAATTAGATAATAAAACAAATTAGGCTCAGTATGTCGACTTCCAAAAATGACAAATGAATTGATATTTTAAATCCGTCAACCTACTCTATACTGTTCTGCTAAGCCTATTAATCTATTGGACCAGTGACTTACTTAACTGATAAAAAAAAATATTTTTATTACAAAGTCTTAATATGGAATCATCCTCCTTTCTTAAACACAAACTTCTCTCTCTTTTCCTCCTTACTCTGAGTTCTTACTTGCTCATCTTTCTTTGTCATTCTTGCTCATCTTTCTTTGTCATTCTGTAAAGTAAAATTTATATATATTTCATATATTTTTTCCTCCTTAATCTTTATTATTTACTCTTTCTTAAGGTTTCATTTTTTAGGTGTTTGGATTTTTCAATATAAAAGATAAAATATTTTATAAGTTTTTACCTTACTTACATGTATTTGTTATTGTTTTTTATTATATAAATTTTATCTTAATTTGATTGTTTTAAATCATAATTTCTTAACACAATATATTAATTTAAATTATTAATTTAAAAAATATATATTAAATTATTGACAAATAAATAATAATAATATTATTAAATTTATTAAAAAATTTGATTTAAAAAAGATAAATAAATTAATTTGAAAAAATAATACGGTAGAAGGAGTTGAAATCTATCATAATTATAACATATCGTCTAGACATTTTTAGCGAGAGGGTCAAAATCGAGTTAGGCGGCCCATTTTTCTATCCAATTCAAAATATAATTTTATAAGATTATTTTAATTGTATTTTATTATTCCTAAATATAACGTTTTAAAATTTTGAGAGGTAATAGATTGAAGAAATTACATTTTTCTAAATGAATAATTAATAATAGGTAACAATATTTATTATTTTTTTAAGAATAGGAAATAAATTTTGTCATAAGGTATATTGAATGAAAACATCAATTTTAAATATATTGCGAATTAAATTAGAAAAAGTTGAATGTTTGGTTGCACTTGACTTGCATCTTAATTACATAAAAATATAAAAATATTGAATAATTGAAAACTTGGGACCAAAGCATAGAACAGTATTGAATAAGTGAAATGGACGTTTGTTTTAGTTTTTAGTTTAATTTAATTGAAAGAGTAACATGGTCTTTCCTAATTTACGTATTTAATTTCCTACACACTGTGTAAATCTGTAACATAACCACTGTACCTTAAACTTATTTTCCTAATTAAAAAAATGATACTTTCACAACCCAAATCCATACAACTTTTAATATTATAATAATAATTTTATTTTATTTTTATAATAATAATTTTATTTTATTTTTATTTTTATTAAATCAGTCTATAGATTATTATATTAATAAAAGTGAGTTGTTTGAAGAATTGTATGGTTTCTAGTTGTCAAAATATCACTACTCCAATATGAGATTAAAGTATTATTTATTCTTAAACGAATTATTATATAGAGTCAATAACAAAATATCAAAATCAATGATATTTTAAATATTTTCTCTAACTTATTATTGTCCACCAAATTAGTCATTTTCTGTTAATTCTATCACGAATACTAATAATGCTAACCTTTCCTCAACTTAACTTTTTTAATATCTTTTTTTGTTAAGGAAAGTTTTTATTATCCTCTACCTTCTTTATTGTCTTTGGAAAGCTAAGAGGTTAACCACGAATACGGATAATGTATTATTTTAGACTGCACGTATCTCTTCACGTCACTGAACTCTGTCAAAATTAAAAGTGATATGAGATAAAAGTAAGAGAAGTACCAAAGAAATAAGTTGAAAATACTCTCATACTGAAGGAATAAAAAGTATATTTTATTATAAAGTCATGTAAAAAGTGTCATCAGAAGTGTTTTATATGAGAGTTGAGTTGGAAGAGAAACTTTGTTAATAGATGATATAAGAAATAAAGGTAAAGAACAAAAGAAAATTGCATGGATTATTTTAGCACACAAGTAACGAAACATTCAAGTTGTGTTGATTCAACAATGATCACACAACGCGCTTTGTTGATTCAACAATAACTTGTGATGAATGTAAATACATCTCTTTCATTCCATTCCATGCATGGACGAAGAAAGAAAGTAGTGGCAGGATGCAAAACTAACACGATTCAAGGCATGCATTACGATTACGATTACGATTCATGGTCCAAGTTGGACAAAACCTTGTTTCAAAATGCTCACATGCTTTTACCTCTGTTTTCTCTGTAATTAGGTTGTCACATTAAACGACAAACAACACGGCATCGCCAGCAGTTTCTATGCTCATTTTCACGTTCCTAACCCCACCAATAAATATTTAACCTAATAAATCATCAAAACCCCACACAGAAAAAGCACAACCAAACCATCACACAAAGCAAGAAAAAAGAGCATCAATCAAACAAAGCACGCTTTCCATTTCCACCACCCCAAAAGACACAAACGGAAAAAGGTGACACGTCATTACAAGGCCCAAAATGGAACAACAAGAGGGAGAAACGTGGACAATGCCACCGTTTTGGGCGGCGGAGAATCGCAACCGCCGCCGTCTCCGCCGCTCTTACTCTCTTTTACTCACCTCCACTTCCCTCCTCGTACTCGTCCTCGTACTCGCGCTGGTGTTCTCGCTCATCGTAGTTCCCACATTGCACTCGTTCGCTTCCAAAATCTTTAAACCTCGTACGGTGAAAAACAGTTGGGACTCGCTCAACCTCGTACTCGTGCTCTTTGCCATTGTTTGCGGCTTCATTAGCAGAAACACCACCTCCGAAACCCTAACCCCGCGTTCTCATAGGACCTTCTCGAACCCTTCCACGCCGCCACCAGCGTGGTACCATTACGATTACGCTCACGGTCACACTCCTCGCCGATCGTTTAATAGGTTGAGAAGCTTCAACTCCTACCCCGATCTCCGTCAACCGATCGCCGCCGATGAACGGTTCCGGTTCTATGATGATACTTACCTCCTACACCACCGGCACTCCAGGAATGATACCGAAGAAGAAGAAAAAGAAATAGGAATTGATAATGTCGTCACCGCGCCGCCTCAACAGGGGACACAGGCTTTTATGAGAAATGTCCAGCCAGCGTATCAAGTGGAAACTATCGACAAACACGACATTGGTGATTTAGATGCGATGATTTCACAACCACCTCCGTCTCCCCCGCCCGGGATTCGAACGAAAGTTGTTCGGAGAAATATCAAGCGATCACATCAATCGGAAACTATGGAGAAACATGAAACAAATGATTCAGCTGTGGAGATTTCACAATCGCCGCCGGCGACGAGAACGAAAGGTGTTCGGAGAAACGGCAAGCGAGTTCATCAAGCGGAAACCATCGAGAAACTTGAAATAGGCGAGTTTGATTCGCAGAGTTCAGAGCCGTCGCCGCCGTCTCCTCCGCGGGCGATAATCCGAAAGAAGGATGTTCGGCGAAATGTCAAATCGGAAAGAGATGATTCGGCTGTAAAGATATCACCGCCGCCACCGCTTCCACAGCCGCTGCCGGCGGAGGCGGTGCAGGTTAAGAAGAAAAGAGGGATTGCTACTAAGGAGTTTTTGACATCTTTAAGAGGGAAGAAGAAGAAACAAAGGCAAAGAAGCGTCGAAAATTTTGATAGCATTCTAAACTCTGAAACGTTATTGCCACAACCGACTCCACCGCCGCCTCCGCCACCAAAGGTTTTCCAGAACCTATTTTCTTTAAAGAAAGGGAAACACAAAACTCCCCATATTGTTTCTGTGACAACAACAATATCAAAAAAGAGGGATTTTGTTTCTTCCTCTAGGTTGGAAGGAAATGTAATGATGGCTGGTAATGAATCCCCATTAAACCCTATTCCTCCTCCTCCGCCACTTCCACCGTTCAAGTTGCCTGGGTGGAAGTTCCGGGTGCAGGGTGACTATGTTAGGGTTGACAGCATTGGTAGTTCACGTAGTGGATCACCTGATTTGGATGAAGTTAGTGAGGACACACCAACAACTAGTAATCATGATGAAACAAGCCAAGTCAATAGTCCTTTTGCCAAAGATGGTGAAGATTCTGCAAGTGTGAGTGCACCCTCATTGTTCTGTCCTAGCCCTGATGTTGATACCAAGGCTCACAACTTCATCGAGAGCTTCAGGGCTGGTTTGAGGATGGCCAAGATGAATTCCATGAAGGAGAGGCAGGGGATTGGGAGGTCCAATCTAGGACCTTCACCACACCATGAATGGTGAAGATGGTCTTAGCTTACTTGATTTTCTAAACAGTTTTTCTGTAAGATAATTCTTCACTCACACACAAATCTTTGGGTTTAAATTCGTTTAGAGGAATGGGAGCAGTGGTTTTTGTGTAAGAAAATTCTGACTTGTAGTTGGAGTGCTTTATTTTTGGTGGACTGGTTTATGCATGTGCATTTGAAACGGACAGTTTTGGATGATGTGTTGACCGTAAGATTTTGAATGTTATTCCAGGCTTTTGTACAAAGTTATTTAATTAATCGATGGACAGTTTAAGTGAATTCATTTTATAGCTCACTGTATTCTATTCAGAGTTGCATGCCATGGTGAATGCAACTGGAAGGAGTGTTGCTTCTCAGATATAAGCCAAGCATTTGCTGCATTTCACGAATATGACAAGCAAGTATAATAGTAAGTTTCAAATTCATTCCATAGATTTTGGTGGAGTACAAAGAAATCAGAAGTAAAGAAATGAAGATAAAATTAGGGACAGCTTTGTTCTTTGACGCCAAATTTTATTTTCTTTCCATCATCACAAGCAAGATTTTAAGGTAAAATGGGGATTATAAAATCAATTATGCATTACTTACAGATAGAAACATTTTTGTATCAAATATTGTTTTCCTTTTTTGGTTAATTTGTAACAATGTTGGAATTGATTGATATGATTAATTGAAAGCTAATCAACCAAATATCAACTTTCGACAAATATTTTAAAAATTATTAATTGAATTAAATAATTACAACATCTGGTAATTGATTGATTCGTATATTTTTTTAAAAACTATTTGTAATAATGGTGGAATTGCAACTGCTAAAAATAATTAAAAAATAAAAAAAGTATTTTTTTATTCTTGTATTTTTTTTTAATTTGTCTTTACTTTACGTATTTTTCATCTTTTAATTTAAAAAAAATGTGATTTTTTGTATACTTAAATTTAACATTGATAATATTATATTGTCATAAAATTAATTAAGTGATTAAATTCAAATAATATATGATTTTACTTTGTATTTGAATAGGAAATTTTATAATTTTTACAAAATTTAATATTTAAATTTGAATAACTTTCATTTCAAATTATTTCATTTTTTTTATAAAACAATTTAATTATTTTTGTTTGAATAAAATATTTTAATTATCACAAATACAAAAATATGAAGGATAAATCACCACTAAACATGTTAATTTAAATTAGCTCAAAAGTTTTAGTTGATATTCACGTAAATAGATCCTAATTGGTCGAGATGGATCATGATAAGTTAAATTAAGTTATATTAAGATAAGTTTAGTTGTATTAGGTTAAGTTTTAAGTTAGATCAAGATAGACTAAGTAAATATAAGTTAATTTGGATTGAGTCACACTTGAACGAAAAGAGATAAACTTATTTAAATCAAGTTAGTTGGGAATGGTACGATAATAAAGTAACATTAGGATACTTTGAGTAGGTCTAACCAAATTAAATCATTTAACACAAAATAGATAAATTTTGATTGAGTTAAGTATGATATATTGATTTTAGTTTGTTCAAACAAAGTTTATCCTATTTAAAATAAACTTATCTGAATCAAGATTAAATTGGATTAGTTTTGATCAATATCTTAACTTCAACTAAACTAATGATATGTTAATCAAAGTCAAATAAAGATATCTTACTTGAGACAAAAATTAGAAAAAAAAATTATAGACGAGAAACATAAATTAAAAAAAAAGTGAAAATTTTGATTTTTTTAATTAAAAATGTATTTAATTTAAATAATTAAATTATTGTTATAAATTCCTATATCAACTTATTTTAAAAATATTCATTAAATAACATTTTAAAATATTTTCATTTTTATATGATTAAATTTAATACCTAAAAATAACTTTTTAGTATCATAAAAGTTGATAAATAATAAATTTATATAATTTAAAAAAATTATAACTAATTAATTAAGTTTTAAAATATAAATGTCAAAATTAAATTTCAAAATATAAAAAGAAAAATATATTTGACTAAAGAATAAAGTTATTATGGGTGAGAAACCTCATGCAATATCAAACAACACGTTAATCCCCCAAAAAATAAGACTTTCTTTTAATAATCTAATTCATTTAGGACCAACGATCCACTCTTTTCTTATTGAAATATCAGCAAAAACGGTGACATATATTGACAAATCACATGATCCGCCTTACCAAAACCTCTTACAAAATATAATTAAGAATTTTTTTGCAAATTAAACAATAAACCAAAATTTCTCTAATTAATAGACTAGGACATACTTACTACCTAATTTAAACAAAAAATTTAATTTAATTCAATTGAGTTTCTATAATTTATTTAGATTTATAAGAGTTATTTTTACACTGCAAGATATTACACTACATTTTTATAGACTTCAATTATTATCATTGGCAGGATTTAAACCCATTACCTTAGAGTTAGAGGTCGATACTCCAACCACTAAGCTACTAGAATTTTTTGATAATAATTTACAAATAAATTATATTTATATACAAATATATTTATATATTTATATATTTATATATATATATATATATTTATATATTTATATATTTATATATTTATATATATATATTTATATATTTATATATTTATATATTTATATATTTATATATTTATATATATATATTTATATATTTATATATTTATATATTTATATATTTATATATTTATATATTTATATATTTATATATTTATATATTTATATATTTATATATTTATATATTTATATATTTATATATTTATATATTTATATATTTATATATTTATATATTTATATATTTATATATTTATATTTTATAAATAGAAAATAGAAATCGAAAATAGAGATCAAATCAAAATATTGCTGAGATATAAATGGAAAGTTGGAGAAATCGAATAAAAGAAACTTACAAAGATGACAATGTAAAAGAAACTTGAAAACTTCATTCAATTATGTAAAACTCTTACAAAACAAGCTCTGCCTCTTGTTCTAAACGAAGAGGTTATTTATAGACATCTTAGAACTTACTAGGAAGTATACAAATTACTTTTATGTCCTTCTAATAATTTACATAATTATCGTTTCTTGAATTTTCCTCTTTGTTGGGTCACATCTTCTTTTGGATTTTGTCTTGGTCTTCCAACATATCTTCTTTTCCATATTTGCTTCATATCTTCTTTATTGATTTTGTTCTGATCTTCTTATTATCTATCCGTCTTCTTTTTCTTTAGTTTTTTGTCTTGTCATGCTTTGTCTTGATTCTTTAATCAAAGATGTCGAAAAGATTATGTTGAATACTTTCTTCGGAATCTGCTTTTGATGTTGATGACTTTTCTTTGATTATTTGCTCTAAATCTTTCATATTAGTAGCTGCTACTAATTCTGCCATTAGTTTTTGTTTTTCTGCTAAGAATAAAGACTCTTGGTTTAATGCTTGGCTTGACTCTTCTCTTCGTCTTCTATGATTTCCTTGCCACTTGTCAATATTATTCTTGGTTATTAACTTTGTGTTGAACTTCTGCCACCATTTTATCTTGAATCTTCTTGATAATTGTTTTATATCTACATTCTCGTAAGCTGGTTCTATTTCATAATTCCATGCTACTATCCATGTAATGGATTGTGTAGCTACAAATGAGATCAATCTATAACCTGGATCAAAGGCTGTTTTTTCTCTAAAATACTGATATACATCATTAACATTTTGAGGGAAGATTGTTGGTAATGGTCCGAAGTCAGCAAACCATTTAATGAACCATTTTGGAAATTTTAGATAAATTCCTCTTCTAAACCAGATAAACCATGAATGGGTTTCTGGATATACTAATAAGGCTTTTGTCCATGCTTCTATGTAGTCATAATAATTATACGACTGAGGATTGAAGGTTCGGGAAAAGTTATTGGTTTCATGGATGGGTTGGTTCCAGTCTTCAGGAGATAATATTCGTAAAATTTTTATTTTTGAAGATAAAATATTGTTTTGACTGTCTCTAGTGTGGTAGATTTCTGCAGAGTCTGTATCTACCAAAATAAACTCATAAAAGGTTCTAGTTTTTTCTGGGTTTATTGGAGGATAATGAAAATCTTTAAGAAAGAGATGATTGGTTATTGTTCTAATATTGTCATAAATCCAGGATTTTTCTAAGATAATGATGAAAGAAGTTTCAGGTTTTTCTAGATATTCTTCAGAGACTGATTCGGTAATGGTTTTATTGATAAAGTCTATTGATCCTACTAAAATATTTTGATATTGAAGAGGAGTAAATTTGTTTCTAATCAAAGGGCTTCTAGAGGTATTGAGAATTTGTGGAGGTGTTTTTAAAATTTCTGCTAAGGTGGATTGTATTTTTGGATGGGTTTGAGAGGTTTGCGGTCTCAGTGATATTGTCGAAGCTTCTTTTTGTAATCCCAATGGGGGATTATATTGTTCTTTTCCTTTTTGTGATCCCAGTGGGGGACCATACGGATCTTTGTTCACGGGCTTCGTGCTCATGTTGAAGCCTGTAAAAACTCTCTTGTCAAAAAATCTGGTAAAAAATTATTTTTTCCTTTTATATGTTCAATTTCAAAATCAAAACATGATAATAAAGATTGCCATCTAGCAAAAATATGTTTTGAAACTAAATTTTGAACATCTTTAGTTAAAACACTTGGTGCTGCTTTACAATCAGTTCTTATTAAAAACTTTTTATTAAAAACGTCATCTTGGAACTTTTGAACACATAATACTATTGAAAGAATTTCCTTTTTAACTATAGAATACTTTTGCTGTGAAGGATGTCAAATACTCGAATGATATCTGACAACTTGTTCTTTAGAAAATCCTGAAAGTTTTTGTTTTAATACCCCCCATAGCCTAAATCAGATGCATCATTTTCTATTATTAAAAAGGCTTCTGGATCTGGAATTCCTAAACAAGGGATTCTTTTAACTAACTCTTTTATTTTTATTATAACTTGAGTCATATTCTCATCCCATGAAGGAGGATTTTTTCTAAGTCTTT